AGCCGATATTAAGGGCTCAAGTAGAAGGCAAATGTTTTGAGAATGATGATGGCAACAAATGTACATATGTGTTTGACACAATGGATGTATGTATGGATTGTGATAAGAATTGTACGAACCCTCAATAAAATGATTTTAAAAAAAAGACATACTGCATTAGGTAAATCTGCTGTACAAGATCTCTTTAGAGTATTGAAAAGTAAGGATGTTTCTTTGAAGACTAAGGTCTACTTGACTAAGCCAGGGTATTTTCAATTGCATGTGAAAGTTGAACACTGAATAAAGATGATCAAAGCAAAAAAACCCAAAAAAACAAACACCAAAGTTCCTTACTGTATTCCCCACCACCACCAGTCTCTCTTTGGTAAAAGAAATTGGGTTTTGTAAATGGAATAAACTTACAGATGTAGCAGATCAGTGTCCCTAAAATCCTTCAGCATATGGTAGCATGGTTACATAGGTGAGCTTTCTCCTTCCCAGTGGTTCAACAGTCTTCCCTTACTGGTCCCAGAGTAAAGAAAAAAAAGGGTGTTTACGGAAACTGGGCAAATAATTCCATAATTTTGTTTCAATATACTCTACAATACTATAAGGTTTTTTAAATACATGATCACTTGAAAATAAGTCAGTAACACTCACCAAATGATCTGATCAGCAAATATGTTACATTCCAAAGTAATATCCTAACATTAATGTAACTTCCTCAAATTAGTAGAGAATGTATCCACTTAAGAGCTAAGAACTATTCAAGGCACTATGAATACTTATCTGAAGAAACAGGGTGGTAAATTTGACCAACGTCACATGATAGTGTCATTTAAGTGGTGAAGCTGGATTTTATACCCAGATAGGAATCCAAAGCTTTCTACCATGTTGCGTGTTTAGAATTAACCTTTAGGTTCTGCTAAGTGCTTTATTATGAAATTTTAATATAGTTTGTGAAAATATTCTAGCTTTAAAAAATTAAGAAAAAACTCACGTAGACGAACACTACCCAGTGAGGCTGTCGGCCTGCCATCATGGTACTGTGACATTCAGTGAGCTTAGGTTTCACGTACTTTTGGAAGGGGTCATGAGTTACTGCACATGCAATTTTTATCTGTATTACATAGTTTGCCTTTTTACTGAGTATGAAAAAATCTATTGAAGCATCATTAATGTTAACTATTTTAAGATGAATAAGAAAAGTTCTTGGGTATTAAGTGATTTAAAGCCCTGGTCATTTTCCCCACTGCTGATCAGATGGGTCTTGGCTGACAACAAAGAAAGCCAAAAAGATGTTTACCTGTTTCATTGACGATAGAAAAGCATCCCATTGTGTGGACCCTAACAAATTATGGGTAAACAATGCAAAGAACGGGAATTTTAGAACACTTAGTTGTGTTCATGTGGACCCTGTACACAGACCCAGGAGAGTCTAAACAGACGGGAATAATACCGCAATTTAAGATCAGGAAAGATATGTCAGGGTTGTATTGATTTATCATACTTATTTAATCTGAATGCTGAGCAAATAATCCAAGAACTGGACTATATGACTACCACAGTATCAGGATTGGAGGAAGACTCATAAACCTGCAATACACAGATGGTAGAACTTTGTTGAAAGTAAGAGGACTTTGAGGCATTTATTGATGAAGATGAAAGATTACATGGATTAAATCTCAATGTGAAGAAAACAGAAATCTTCACAACTGGGCTGATAAGTAACATGATAAAGATTGAAATTGTCAAAGACCCATTTTACTTGGTTCACCAACAAGACCCATGAAACTGCACCCAGGAAGTCAAACAATATACTACACTGGACCTACAAAAATATTGCTATAAAGGCTAGGTACATTACACTCAAGCGATGGCCTTTTTCAATTACCTCACATACACACGTGAGAACTGGATGAGGAAGACTGAAGAATTAATACATTGAAGTTTAAGGTATTGGAACACAAGTTAATTTACCACAGACTTCCAGAAGACAGACCACATGTCTTGGAAGAAGTAAAACTAGAATGCTACTTAGGAGCTTTTTTCTTCTCTTCTTCAGATATATCATCAGAAGCTAGTCCTTTGAGGGCATCAAGCTTGGCAAGTCAGCCAGAGAGGAAGACCCTCAAGGTGGACTGAGCAGGATTTTGCTCTGTTGTGTATAGGGGTGCTAGGACTTGGAACCAACTCAAGGGCACCAAAGAGCAGTTCTAAAGGGCTGCTTTGAGTCAGAATCAAGTTGATGCCAATGGGATGGGTTTAGCTAAGAAAAAACTCAGTCAAGTGTGAGGTTATGGTCGCAGAAAAAACCTCATCTTTCTCCCATGGACTTGTTCCATTAGCTATATGTGACAAAACCCCGGCCCCATGGCTGTTGAGTCTCCTTCAACTCACAGAACCCTATAGGACAAAGAACTATGCTGGTTTCCAAAGCTGTAATCTTTGACGGGCCCCTGGTGGCATTGTGGCTACACATTGGGCTGCAGTCTGAAATTTGAAACCAGCAGCTGCTCCACCCGAGGAAGATTGGGCTTTCTACTCTTGTAAACATTTTCAGTCTTGGAAAACTTACTGGGGCAGTTCTACCCTGTCCTATAGGCAATGGCATCAACTCGCTGGCCCATTGCACCAGCAGCAAGGAGGCTCATTATTCAGGGCAGGATCTTGCTTTTCCTTCATTTTAAAATGAAAAGTTAGTTGAATTTTATAACCTAGAAGTTTACTGGAAATGAAACAGGGGCATGATGGGATAGACTGGTTCTAAAGAACTTACTTCTAACACACTTTGGAAAACTTGCAATAAAATTTCAAATTACAGTAATGATAGAACTCATTATGTATTTTATTCCCAAAATCTTAACAGTTCTAGAACTTCTTTTACTTTTTAATCTTATATTTAGTAATCTGGTAATATTTTAGGTATAAAACAAATTTGACACTGCTACTTTCCAAGGAGGAAAAGCCCCTCTATTGTCTGTATCAAACACCGAGAACCTTTTCAAAGTAAAAGTTATCAAATGGATTTAGTCATGGAAAAACTCTTGTAATAAAATATTTCCCTTTATAGTCTGTTTTTGGACAACTGTCCTATGTACATCATCTTCTTTGCATATGCACACACACAAAACATACATACAGCATGGATGGAACATCACAGAAAAGATTGTGCGTTAGGCAACATTCATCTTTGTGACCAAAGGATTTCATTAGCAAGATAGAGCTAAGGGATAACTAATGGACTTTGCTCTCAGCGTTGCTTATTACTACAAAGTGAAGGGCAATCAATAAAGCTATTATGTCTGATGGAAATGGTCCTAATTTGAAGGTAAGAATTTGGCTTTCTGGGTGTTTTCTTTTCCCAGTGTTGTCACTTAAAGAGTCTGACCTTCTTAAAGAGCCAGAAGAGACAAAGTGGTACTCCTAAAGGGTCAGAAAATACCTACCTTTTATTCGAATACTCTCCCAAATGGCTCTATAGCCACTTGTATTTAAAGTATTTACATGTCAAATTCTTTTTTAATATACAGAGAAGTAACAGTAATAACCATTATTCTGTGAACATGAATGGATGGTAAATTGAGAGGAAAAATCCAGTCTTTGTTGTATTAATTTAGTTAAACACATGCTTAGTTTAAGTCTTCCACCAAAATTTCCAAATTTGAAAATGTTGCTTATTTAGTTACAGATAGGTTAGATCGATGCTTGATCCTTGAGTAAGTCTAGGTTGAAAAATGATCTAATGTAAATTTTACATTCAATGGAATATTATCTCTTCATTTGTATCCTCAAACCTGTTTTTAATCAAGAAAAAGAATAGGTGTAATTAAAAAAAACAAAAAGGTTTATGGAAATGAAATCGTGCTGTGTAAGGCAGCTATCTTAAAGACATTGTTATTTTTTACCCACTTATCATAAAAAACTAGTCCTCAGATTCTGCATAGAGAGAGCTTTATGTAAAATATATAAACATTTGTCCAAATTGGTACACAGATTGCATAAATATGGCAATTAAGATTGCATTTACACGTGCATGTACAATGTTGTGCAAATCATCACAAAATTACAATTTCAGAAATTATTCAAAGTGGTATCCAAGGAAAGCAATTAGTGAAAAAATACCCATGCAGAATTTAAATATCACTTTCAGAACAAAATTTAAAATGTCCTCAGTAAAAGTTCACACATTCAAAATAGTTTTATTCATTTTATTTGTATATGTCAAAATACATTTTTATTTTCAAAATAGTGGGTTTTGCAACTAGTTTCATGCAGAAACAAGGTCTGCTCAATACTACCAATAAAATCAATATAGCACAGTAGCTGTTCAGTTTCAGATACAAAGAATAAATAACCTAAATACAAAACACTAAAATATTAGAAACATGTATTTAATCATTCTTCACAGGCATCCAAACTTCACAAATAATCCTTAGCATGCCCAACTGTTGTGCAACCAGAAATTGTTGCAGCCTCACTCAATCTGATCAATTATTTGTATATTTTTACCTCCGCAACAAGACCATGGAAACTCTCTATATTCAGACCCACCATTCATACAGTTCAAATAAAACCAAAAATAAAGCTCCCACAACTCTCCTTGTACCTTTAAAATCAAGAATCCTGAGCTTGGTAGTAAGAGCATAACCTTATATCTTCATAAAACCAATCAAGAGAAAGGATTTAAAATCCTGCTTAGCAAAACACCCTTCCCCAACCCTAAAGTAATCTAAAGTAGGCAGTAGAACACAATGACCTTTTAAAATGAAGGGGTACAAATTCACATTTAATATAGTGTACAATACAATTAATAATACAATTAGCTACTATAAGCTTTACAATGTACAATTTATTCAAATGGCTGAACTGTTCAGTGGTTTTTAAGGAGACAGTTATGTGCCAGAAAGACATAATATTTTTTGCATGGTTTAATGAAAATATAAAAGCAATTTGTCCAAATAAAAGCCATCTTCACTATGTACTTGGTACTGCTTTTTAAAAAGGCCACTGAAATGTATAAAATGGTCTGAACATGATGGTGATATCAAAGATGCCTCTTCACATGGCAATGACAGTGCATTTAACTAACTCACAGGTTAAAAATCTGCAAATGATTTCATAGCATTACTTTGGCTAGCACAACAGTTTTAGACAGCACTCAGAAGATCCAGGTATGTGAAATGTGAAGCCATCATCTTATGCAACTTTAATTATGGCTGAATACTAACAAATGCAAACCGGAACTAAAAGTAAAAGCACTTTACAGTGGAAATCTTTTGTAAAGATAGGGCTCCATAGAATGTGTAACTTTAAAGTCTTTATAACACATTGTTAGCAAAAAATTTTTAACACGATTATGGAGCCTACTTTGCATTAACAGACATCTGAAATAAGAAAATAGTCAAGCATGCCATGTGGTGATTTAAAAATCAAAACAATACACTTATTTATATATACAGCATCACTCAGTACCTGCTAAAATGAATGTGAAGATTACAGAACCTAACATCTTATACTACAACAGTAAAAAGTGACCAATGAAGGCAGAAAGAAGAACCTAATCTTAAAGCACTCATATAAGAAATAAATGAATATTGCACATACAGTGAAAGCAACTGTTCCACAAAGCAATCCGGTCCCAGGTGGGAGACAACACAGCACTAGCCTAATACATTATTTTGCAAGAGCAGGTGGTCTGTGAAAACATGGAAGAGTCTGCCACATGAAGAGTTAGAAGGAAAAAAAATACAAACCCACACTTAGATGTAAAGCAAAATTTAAAAAAAATTAAATATAGAAAAACTGGATACTTGTGGCACATCAAAAAATGTCGAATAACTGTCTTCTGTGAGAGCTGAAAGTTTTTGTTGACACAAAAGTATTTATGTACAACTAAGGCTTACTGGTTAAATATCTGAGGCGTTTCTGGCCTTGAACACTTTCCTTATATGCTGGATCTGTAAACAAGTTTTCTCCGTCATTGAAAAAAACAAACTTCTCAGCAGCGGAATTAATGTGAAACAATGGTCTTGATAAAAAACAAAAAACCCCAAATTAAACAAAACAACAAAAACCCTAGTTAAGAGGGCATTTGGCAGGATATCTGAAAATGACAGTCTCCGATGATTCTTCTCCGACTTCCAGTGACTGTCATTTATGGTCCACTGGGTTACTAAAATGTGCAATTCCATGACTTGCTGCCTTTTTTTCATTTGGAAAGTTTGCTTATGACTCTGATCAAGGCCCCGTTTTCATCCTTTAGCCTCTGGTTGTCTGCCTTTAGGTCTGGTAACATCTAGGAGGGCAAAAATAGAAGAATCTTTTACTTCCAATAAAAATATATTCGAATGTAATGTTTTATTATAAGACACACGAATGAGCTTTGTGAGCTATAAATATATGTATATTTCTAGGGGCTTAAAGATAGCAGGGAAAAAAAAGTAAGCCTTGATATTGTGAAGCTAGTTAGTTTAACCCTTTCATGACTGAATTATTTTATTCCTTGAATTTTTCATTAATGCCATGTGCTTTCTGTAATGGAAGGCATGCTGAAACTAAGTGGGAATGGGATGGAAAAAACTTCTTGAGCCAATATGGATTTCATACAATTATATGGGACACATCCAAGGGGGCTTTCAAAATGTTCAAGGAAAAACTCTCTTTTTATTCCATTGTTCAGGAACTTTTGGAAGCCTCCTATGTCCAGAGTAGACTCTGGTAGCATTGGTCACATGAGGTTTACTGCTCCAGAGTCAAGTGTTATATAGGTCCTGATGTACACTAGAAGTGGGAAAAGAGTTTTCCCTGAAAGGTGGTATACCAGGGGGTTTCCAAAAGGTCATAGAAAAACAGAATAGAAAAATAATGGGATAGTCTACATGTCGTGAAAGGGTTAATAAATGACTCAATGAAAGGTTTATTCTCTTAAAGGATCAATAAAAATGTACTAGGATCTCATGACTCACAAACACACCAGATTAGAACAGCCAAAAAAATGAAGCCTGCGTTTGTTGGCACAGGCTTAGGAGTTCCTACCAGCATTGAAACCAAGGCCCTTTCTTTGTATGTATCAGGCTTAAAAATTACAATGCTTTACTATTTTTCCTAAACCCACAAGCCTACTTAGTGACCTTTTTTTTTAAAGAGTTGTTTAGGGACCTTTTAAAGGAGCTCTAAATTCCTTAAGGAATTCACTTACAACCCCAAAGTTTAAGTGCTTATTTCAGTGTCTGATATAAATGGGGTACTCATTAAATGGCAGTTAAGCAATCACTATTATTATTAGAATCATGAATATTTACAAGCTAGAGTAGTAAGTTTGCATTTATAAAAACTTTCAAGCATAGGAAGAATAACCAGTATTTGACTCAAGTAGAAAAAGAAACCCTACACTCTCATATCTTCAAAGTGCTGTAACTCAATTTTCTATCGCCTCACCGACAAACCGGAGAAGATGGGAAGGTTATAAGATAACTGGACTTCCCACTGAGAATGATTTCCGAAATAAAATCATGTTTCCACTTAGGAATTTCCAAAATGTTGGTATTTTTGTTTTCAAAATATTCTAGGATTATCTTCTAGCAAATTTCTACTTGCAAAACTACTTTAGGTAAAATATCTGTTTTCGGAGAAGTTTAAATCAATTCGCATCTGTGCTGAAAATGTTCATACAATTAAGTTTACATTAAGATTCTTTATATTAGGACAATCTCTTGTAATAGAGAAATGAATGTATATAAACCAAGACGGCTTTCATTGAAACTTTTTTGAAAAACATTTAATTTTCAGCTTCAAACTACACTCATTATATGTACTAGTTACATATAAAATATATTATATTGATTATACTCCATTTTTCCCCATTAGAGAACTTTAAATAATAGCCATACTTTAAAGCTCTAATCTGGCTGCAAACCCAAATAGGTACACAAACTTTGCCAAAATGCATAAAGTTTTATTCCTAAGTCATTCCTTAACTTTATTGTAATTTAATTGTCGCACTATACAATTAGTGACACTTTCTACCATTCTCAGAAGGCATGCATTATTAAACAGTTATTTAAGCAAGCTCTAGACACAACAAAATTAATTTGTAAAAGTGGGCTGAGACACGCACTAATAAAAAAACACCCGCCTGGCTCTACCAAGAAGAAATGGAGAAGCTATAAATTATAGGTTCACTGACTGCAGTTGCCCACAGAAGCCCGAGCGCTTGACTACCACTCTTGTCAAGGCCCTATTCTCAGTCAGCAGTTGCTCATTTAACTCGCTCAGAGTTTGAATTTGCTTTATTTGGTGCAGGTTCTGCAGGAATCAGAATATAAAGAAATAAGAATAAAAGGAGAAAAAGGCAAACAAAATAAAAATACAAAGAACTACAGGTAATGAATGTAAGAAGAAATAAACCAATAACTTTAAATGAATCTTTCAAAAGATTTACAAAAGTAAACCGTATATTCTTAAAATATTTAAAATACAAAAATATCCCCAAAATTTGCCCTCAATTTTCAAAAGCACCCCAAAATAACCAACAATGAAAAAACATTCAATAATAAAACATTTAGTTATTGAAATTCAAATTCTGTGGCCACAATTTCCTATGCTACAGTTCATCACATCAAATAGAATAAACATGTAAATCCAAGATAACATGGAAAGATGTAATCATTTAACTGTCATTTTTTTTCACTGCAGTGTCCTTTTTTCAACATTCAACAGAAAGTATTTTCACATGTAATGTAGAAGTTAATAATATAGGAGGGTAAGTAAAAAAAGTATTGCTGGAAAACCACAGAAGCCCTTATTAGACAAAAATATTGAAATGTGAAGTTACTGTTTCTCAGTTTGTCTTCCATCTAGATTGATACAGGTGGTGTTTCCATCCCTGAAGCCTTTCTCTGAAGAATTTCATGCTCTTTGATTGATGTCATAGGATAAGGTTTCCCATTAAAATCTTTGTAGGACAGCTCTTGCTACCCTCCAAAAATGGGAGGCTCGTTGTGTTGACAAACAAGTTCCTTGGCCCAACTTTACTGACCGTTTCTTCATCATTGCAGTTTTCTATTTTCTTCATGTTTCTTTATAACACATGAGAAAATCTATTATGATGACCCCTTTGGAATTCTAAAACACAGTTGCCATGTGCCTTCTGAGCTGACCTCCGAAGGTTGTGCCCTAAGAAATGTTTTGCTAGTTGCTACTTTGAAAAAGACAGCGCAGGAAATATATTTAGTATTTGGTAGTAATTTTGAAACAGATCAACACCAAGTGAATATTCACAATGACTCATAAAAAATAAGACAAAAATCATCACCATCTAATTTCTTCTACTTTAAAAGGGCTACACAAATTGTCAAAATAATTGTAATTCCAATTCCTCTCCAAACTCACAGATCACCTACACTCAACCTTTCAAAAGAGAAGCAGAAATATAGCTCACAAATCAGGCAATCAACTTTGAGAACGATGAATGGAAACGTAGTACCCGAGAATTAAAATGAACAAACAGCAGTCTTAGAGAAAGCATGGTCACTTACTTTGAGCTCTTCTTCCATTTCAGATATTCTTCTTTCTAGAGCTCTTCGTTCCTAGAGCAACAGTAAGGTGCCCATGTGAATTATAAAATTATTATGTGACACTTGGACTTAAAGATCAAATCAGGAGCAGTACAGAAAAAGATGTGATGCCAGTGATGTGTAAAGAGCTTTTCAAAATTTGAGACAAATTTGACTATTTTTATTACTAAAGCTCTTTCTTTAAAGGTTTGACTTTCTGGTAAGATTCTACACATGTTCAAGAGTATTTTTTTACTTCACATAAAACTTAGAATTGAATAAATCACCACTGAAGAGTGTATAGAAAAGGAAAAAAGTTAAAAACCTCACACAAATGCAATTACACTAAAGTGATAGAAGCAGAGAAGCAAACCGTGCACAAAATGTGGGTGCTTAAAAAATTTGAAAGGATCTACTAAATTGCTCACCTCCTCCACCCACATTAACTAGCGAAATTTATGCAACAAACTTTACAGCTTTTTACTTAGGCTCATACTGGGTGTAGCATTGATGCAGTGAAATCTACTGGAGAAGCAATTGCAGCATGTATTTTAAGCTATATCTCTTTACAAAGAGTGACAGGCAAAGGCAACATACAACATATTATTGCAGCATATCTTTCGGTTCCCCTTAAACAATAAGCATTATAAGGTGTTATGCGAAAAGCAAGCAGCAGTAATTGATGTGATGTAAAATTTTGGTTAGGTCATACCGCCCAGAAGATACTGACTCTTGCCGGTCACCTTTCAGATACAAACCATTTAAATTTAGTTTAATCACACGGAAACTATTTCTAGGACATTTCTTTCCCAGATTAATAAGTAACACTGATATTTAATAAAAACAGGTCATTCACTGTAAATGATAGTGCTTTTAGGATATGTGATTTTAAAAACAGATGACATCCTCAGTCTCCATATTATTCTAATACTGACATAGAGTTCTCCCTTTCTTCTCCCTTTCTTCCCTTTCTTCTAGTTAGTAATACAGCTATAAGGACTTTACATAAATCACACTTCTCAAAATACTAGCACACATATTTCTAGTTCAAACAGTTTGTGGAAAAATGAGATAACAAAGATAATGGAATTTTTCCATGCGCTATTTGAAGCCTTGTAGTACCATATTTGATCCTTACACGTTTGTGAAGTTTTAAAAATAGATTATTTCTGCTGACTGACAATACCTAGGAAACTCACTTTATTAGGTATCTTAAAGATTTTTAACTACTGAGAGATAAAGACAAGATATATTATAACAAATTGATACCTATTTGGCTCAATGAAATCTAGATGACTACATTAAAAATGCAGGTAATTTCTTGTTATATAAATTGTTAACATTATACATGTACATGTTTAAAAGACAATACACATATGGAGCCTGCCTGACACTGTAAACTAAACATTACAGAAGCAATACTGATATTTAGAAGTTAGTATTGATACTATTATTGCCATGAGAGTGGATTACTACTTTGTAATTTGCCTGCATCTGACAGGCAGGTAGAGGAGGTCAGGTGAGAATGTCAGAATATAAATGTGTGTATGTGTAAGCTTTGCCAAAAAGAGAAGGGCCAACCCTATTATTGATAATTTTAATTGTTGTGCTACACAAAATGTTTTTCAAAAACACTAGTTTTGGAGTATCAAAAATAATTATTTTGATCAAGTATAATCTATATTATTGATGTCATCTGTCCATCAGCATAACTTTATTATTTCAAATTTTACTATCTCTGAATATCATGGAGTTAAAACTGAACAAGAAGTTATACTACAGAAGGGTACAGCCACCCACATTAAACTTCCTAAGTGATGACGATGAGTACGGCATAAGGAAGTCGTTCTAAAACTGGTGATGATGGCACAACTCTTCGAGATTTAACTGACCTACTGAATGGCATGATATGGGAATTATACGCCAACGAAACTGTTGGAGAAAACCCAAATCCCAGTGATTCTGAAATTTTAGCAATTTAATAGTTACACCAAAATTTTTTAATGTCCCAGAATACTAATTTTAAAAATATGCTAAAATCATAATACAGCTGGTATCTATTATAAGGAATAATTTAGTAGATGACAGCTCCTGATTATTTCTTGGCCCTCCTACAGGTCATAGCTATGAAAGATGTAATTTCTTCTCTGGTAGAAACCACAAAAGCCTAATTACTGTTCAGTTATCCTATATTCTTTGAGCACCTCTCCTTTAACTTTTGGATTATTTATGTATTCTTAATTGCTCAGACTACATTGGAAAAATTATTTCTGTGACCAATACCAGACACCAAGGTATTAATAATAAATGGAGAGAAAGGCAAGTGAATATATTGTAAATCGAAAACTAAACCTATTGTCATCAAATAGATTTTGATTCACAGCAACGCTAAAGGACAAGGCAGAGGGTTTTCAAGGCTGCGAATCTCTACTGGTGCAGACTGCCAGGTCTTTCTTCCACAGAGCAGTTGGTGGTGGAACTGCTGAGCTCTGGGTTAGCAGTCAAGCTCTTTGAATATGGCACCGCCAGAGATAAAATAGAAAATTAGAAATACAGAAATGAGATATATATCTTGTAATCTATTTTTAATATTTCCGATTTAAAATTAAATTTAATAAACTTCACTAAATTGTTACAAAGTCAATTTAGAAAGATATGTTAAAAATGTTAAAACTTTATTTCAAGAATTAAAATGTTTTAGGCATATGATCACAGAAATCAGAGCTATATAATGATACTATATTTTTTAAACTATAGTATTTCAAAGATGTAAGATTTGCCAACACAACATATATAGTTCTGGATCAAAGCAAGACAGTTTTAATTCATTAAAGAGGAACTTGGTTAAAAAAAGTCTTGTTTAACAAAATAATTTCATACCTACGGGATCCACGATAAACTTTATAATATACCTAAATATGAAGCTACCACCCATAGAAAAAGCATAAAATGTAAACAGCCACACAAACAATACTACTATTGCTTCAAATAATACCAAAACCAAACTAGTTGCCATCAAGTCAATTCCAACTCATAATATGGATTGCACAGAACAAAGCAGGCCTGCTCCCTACGGTTTGCAAGGCTGCATTTTTAGCAGAGGCAGGCTGCCACAGTGACCTCCTGCAGAGGATCAGGCTGGTAGTGTTGAACCTCAGACCTTTTGGTAGCCAAGGTCATAACCACTACTCCACCAAGGCTCCTTCCACAAAACATAAAGGGAGAAGATGACTACTTAGTCAATAAAGTGAACACTCACCCTCTTTTCCATCTCCAATAGTGACCTATCAGCAAATCTTTCTTGTCTCTGTAATGCAATAAATTATAAAAGGGACATAAGTGCGATAAAGATAGAAGAAAGGGCTACACAGTACATCCCTATAATGTATATTAAAAGAAATCACATGTAATTCACATTTTTATAATTCTTCTTTTACAATTTCTTTTTTTATTTTTGTTTTGTGGTTGTTAGATGCTGCCAAGTTGGTTCTGACTCATAGTGATCCTATGTACAACAGAAAAAACACCACCAGGTCCAGCATCATCCTCACAATTGTTATGTTTGAGCCCAATTTTGCAGCCCCTGCTGTCTTAGTACATTCCACATCGTGATTATTAATGGATGTATGCCACTCTTTCTTCTCATTTTGAGTTGTGCCTATCAGCAAACGATGGTCCCCCCAAAACTTAACTCCACCCAGGTCAAGTTTTTGAGGAGGCGGCACTTCCCTAGTTGTATTTTGAGTGCCTTCCAACCTGAGGGGATTATCTTCTGGCATTACATCAGACAAGGTTTTCAGTGGCTAATCCCTCAGAAGCAGACAGCTCATTCCTTCTTTGTAGTCTTGTCTTAGTCTGGAAGCTCTGCTTCCAGTGAACAGAAAATGGTTCACTATGGGTGGTGAGCCTGTTGGGATTTGAAACACCAGTGGCATAGCGTCCAGCATCACAGCAACATGGAAGCCACAACAGTAAAGCAGACTGACTGGTGAGTGGTGGCTTTTATAGTTAGGACAAATAAACTATAAACATCGGCTGCTGTCAGTACTTCTTGGTTATTTTAAGTGGTTTTATGTATGCTTTTGAACTTATTCTTTTGGGAAAATCAAAAGTTGATGTGTTCCAGTTGATTCTTATTAAAATAAAATTCTGAATTTCAAATATGGTAGCATGTATCCCAAACTGACTGCCATCGAGTCGATGCTGACTCATAATGACCCTATAGGATCGCATAGAACTGCCTCTGAGTTTCCGAGACTGTACTGTTTATGGGAGTAGAAAGCCTCATCTTTCTCCGGTGGAATGGCTGGTGGTTTCCAACTGTGGAACTTGGGTTAGCAGCACAATTTGTAACCACTATGCCAGCAGAGTTCCTGAAAGTGGTTAACAAAAGGAAAAGGGACCAGGTAGCAAGTACAAAGTCAAGATAGAAAATGAATTTAAAAAACCACAGGGAGTAAAAAAATAAGTGTGTAAAAGAATGGGCTAAAAGCTAAGCTGAGCCCCATTCATAGAAAGGGAGATGTTTTTTTAGATCTGTTTCCAAGATGGATTCTAAGAGTAGGTGCAGTTCCATGTACTTCAAAGAAAGGTGGATCCCTCACAGTCCTTAAAATAAAATCTTTAAGATATAAAATACATAATTTCCCATTTATTTAATCCAAAATTAAGCATATTTTTGGGGGGTGATGGTGATGGGTAAAAGAAAGGGATGGGCGCCCGGCTATCAAAAAGGCTATCAAAAGATATAGTGCCTGGGGTTTTAAAGGCTTGAAGGTAAACAAGCAGCCATCTAGCTCAGAAGCAACAAAGACCACATGGAAGAAGCACACCAGCCTGTGTTATCATGAGGTGCCGAAGGAAGGGATCAGTTATCAGGCATCAAAGAACAAAAAATCATATCATTGTGTGCTCACCTCCATCATACGATCACTGAAGACAAAAGGGTGCATAAGCAAATGTGGCGAAGAAAGCTGATGGTGCCCAGCTATCAAAAGATATAGCGTATGGGTCTTAGAGGCTTGAAGGTAAATAAGCGGCCATCTAGCTCAGAAACAACAAAGCCCACATGGAAGAAGCACACCAGTCTGTGATCACGAGGTATCGAAGGGTCAGGTATCATCAGAACAAAAAATCTTATCACTGAATGAGGGGGGAAATGCGGAGTGGAGACCCAAAGCCCATTTGTAGGCCACTGGACATCCCCTCACAGAAGGGTCTCAGGGAGGAGATGAGCTAGGCAGGGTGCGATGTAGCAACGATGAAACATACAACTTTCCTCTAGTTCCTAAATGCTTCCTCCCTGCTCCCACTATCATGATCCGAATTCTACCTTGCAAGTCTGGCTAGACCAGAGGATGTACACTGGTACAGATAGGAACTGGAAACACAGGGAATCCAGGGCTGATGATCCCTTCAGGACGAGTGGTGTGAGTGGCGATACTGGGAGGGGAGAAGGAGGGTGAGTTGGAAAGGGGAACCGATTACAAGGATCTACATGTGACCTCCTCCCTGGGGGATGGACAACAGAAAAGTAGGTGAAGGGAGACCTCAGACAGGGCAACATATGACAAAATAATAATTTATAAATTATCAAGGGTTCATGAGTGAGAGGGGAGCAGTGAGGGAGGGGAAAAATGAGGAGTTGTTGCCAGGGGCTTAGGTGGAGGGCAAATGTTTTGAGAATGATGAGGGCAATGAATGTACAAATGTGCTTTACACAACTGATGTTTGTATGGATTGTGATAAGAGTTGTATGAGCCCCTAATAAAACAATTAGAAAGGAAGGAAGGAAGGAAGGAATAAAAGATTAAAAAAAAATTTTTTTTCTTCCTTGGTATTTGGGCTCGCACTTAATCCTAGCTCCAATTTAAGAACAATTAGCTTTTACATCATGGTTCTGCTTGATATTCACCCTCAGGAAGGGAACACCGAAGATATGGGTACTTTAGCAAAGTGTAGTGAAGAAATTAGATGGTGCCTGGCTATCAAATAGACTAGCTTCTGGGTTCTTAAAGGCTTATTTCCAACAAGCAGCCATCAAAGTGAGATGTCAACTAAGTCCACGTGGAAGAAGCACACCAACATCTGTGACCCACAGATTGTCAATCATATAATTCAAAGATGAAGGTGGGAAGAGCATCAGAGCCTAAACTGTGAGATTCCGGTTTTCAGAAGGTTATGGATGACAGTGGAAGCCCAAGAGACATTTGTGAGATCCACACAGGAATTAAGCTTTTGATGACTTCCCTCTACACATAATGGAGGGATGGGAATTAACTGGTTAGCAAACAGATTATTGGAGAGATGACTCTAGGAGATCAAAATGATAATAAACCTGACTTGAACAGTTAAAACCTTGTCACCCGACTCCCTGCCTGATCTGCTTTTCTGTGTGTGTGTGTGTGTGTGTGTGTGTGTTCATATTGGGGTTTACTTCTGATGTCTTTTGTCATTGTGGATACCCCTCAAATTTTTGTTACTTGTTTTTCTGCTTTGAGGTATATGAAACCAAAGGTTTCATATTGGTGAACCTATAGAGACAACAAGTAGAACAAGGGTTCCTGGGGGAGTGGGGAGAGGGAGGATGATGGGGTGGAGTAGGAGGGGTGAAGGGGAGCTGATTATCAAGGAGTTCCAGAAGGAAGAGAATGTATTGAAACTGATTGTGGTAGCAATTATACAATAGTGCTTGATGTTACTGAACTATGGAATAATGTCATATTATTATTCTCAATAAAATGTTAAAAAAAATGTCTTCTTACAGTACTGGTATATCAAATAACATTAACTCAAGTAAACAAATAGAAGAAATAAAATTTTTGGCTGTAAGAAGATTTTATATAGATGTTGTTAATGCTTTGCTACATTTGGCTTAGGCACATTGGAAGCAAGTATTTAAATTCTTCATTCAAGTCTACCACACATAGGTTTAAAAAAATCTTCTTAAAGCTCTATTTTTTTAAAAATCTACTGCTGAAAAAAAAAAACAAAGGTACACTGGTAAATTGGTAAATTAAATTATCTACAAATAGGCTAGTATTAATAACTAAATTTGTTGTTAGAAGTAACACTGAAGAAAATGACAATGCAATTTGAAAAATAAGTGACATTCATTACCTTTAGTGTAACGAAGAAAAAAGTTACAAACCTGGGTGGCCTTTTCCAATTGCAATTTAAGATCTGTGAGTTCCATGTTTGTATCATGCAGCTGTGCTTTCAGCTTTTCGTTTTCAGCTAGGATTTGTTCATAAAGCTAAAAATATTAGGATAGAATAACAAATTACTTTTCTTTCTCATAATATATGGTCAGAGTCCCTGATTGACGAAAATGATGAAGTGCGTGACTACTAGCGTGAAGAGTGGCAGTGCTGAAGCCAAGAGATGCTTTGGAAGAGAGGCCTGGTGATCTGCTTTTGAGATGTCCTAACCTTGAAAACTCTATGGAGCAGGTCTACTCTGCAAAGACTGGGTTGCCATGAGTTGGAATCGATCTGATTGCAACTAACCATTAACAATATTTTAAGAAAGCTTCCCATTGACATGCTGCAATACTAAAGCAGAGCGACTAATGTAACAAACTGGGAGTTCGAGAGTCCATTCCAGTTCAGTGTGCCCACGTGTGTCAGAGAAGAACTTTGTTTCCTATAGTTTTCAGGGGTGATTTTTGGGAAGCAGACCATCAACCTTACTTCTGAGGTGTGTCTGGGTGGACATGAACCTATAACCTTTGGTTAGAAGTTAAGCTCAATGACACAGTAAAGGATATGCTAAAAATATTTTTCAGTTTTTTTGCGTTTACAAGCCAGAAGCTTTCAGGCAGATAGGTTTGTCCAACATAACCTCTTAATTAGTCATGACATTGAAAAAAATGAAGAAAAATTAGATTTTCCATGATGTTGGAAAAACAGAAAAACCCACTAACAAAAGCAGATAAAAACACGATAAAAAGCAACTATAGCCTAGAGCTGAAGAGTCACTGTGATGATCTTTATGTGGTGAGCGTTTCTGCTCACCACTCTTCTATTCCCAAAACTGAGTTTCTGTTGCATATGTTTGTACAGAGTTATTTAGATATAGTAAAGCTATAAAAGGAAAGTGAACCATTTCAAGTTCAGGTTCATCCAAGGACTTTCCCGTTTTCCAATTCTCCCTAACTGCTTTCAGTAACATTTAAATCTCCCCCTTTCCTTCTTTTTTTTCCTGCTAGCCACAATCATCTCTTATCTAGACCTTTGTAATAATCAGATTGTTTTCTGTGGCCTCCCTCTAATATTTTCCCCCTCTAAGTTATTCTACACATAGAATTAATTTCTTAAGATAAAAATCTAATGTTTATATGCTAGCCACTTTATCTCCCCATCACAATGGAAAAAAACAACACCACCAAACAAACCCTGGACTAGTTTCTCATAACTTCTTAGTAATTTCAAAATCCTGATTTCATTATGTGTTTCTGGTAATAACATCCACATAAAATGATCTTGACAGAAAAGATAACTTATATTTAATTATGTATAACCAAAGAATCCAAGTACCTTTTTAAAGTCAGCTGGGTCTTCTTTTTCTAGCCTGCTACTGTAGGGTTTTCTTTCTTCTAAGTATGATCCAGACCGACCCAGCAAGGAATCATACCGATCACTCGCTGATGAGGAACTGGGTTCATAGCTTGAAAAGAGAAGTTTAAATCAAAATTTTCTAGTATAGGCTTTCACAATTTACATTAGAATAAAACCTGGTTATCTCATTTGCAACCTAATCAACATTTTCGTAATACATAATAAATTAAAAGCTATTTCTAACAGTACTGATTGCAGTATGTGAAGAAGGGGTTCAAAATTCTTATATCTACAAGTCAAACATGGTTTCGTATCATGAGAATCTAGAAAAAGCATGCCATATTTAATATTGTAGATTTCCTCACATTTTCCCATATCTAACATATGAACTGATGAAGCATTTTAGTTTAAATGTTTTTTTTTTCCTTTTTCAAAAAAATTATTAAAGGTATACAATCTAATGGTGTGTTTGAAAATTGGTAAAATGAAATATTATAAAGTACCGTATATCCAAAGTGATAGATTTGAATTTGCTCTAAATAGAAATAAGTGAGAATTTTTTATAATCTAGTTCTGAGGTCAGGTTATCTTTTCTGATAAATGCCATTGCCTTGGTATTTCAATTCAGTAGAATTCATCCAAAACCAGAACCCACACCCACTGCCATCAAGTCGATTCCAATTAACCTTCCATCAGAAACCTTACATGGTGTTTCTGATATTGTACATCGTTACAGCAGCAGCAGCATCTTTCTTTCACAGAGCAGCTATGCGTTTGAACTATAAGCCCTGCAGCCCAATGTCTAACCCACAGCGAGACCAGGCTTCCTAGTAGAATTATCAGTATATGAAAATTTGTTCTTGGTCTGACCGGGCTTCAGTTAACAACTATCAGAATAAAAAGTAGAACAGACCAAATCCAAGAATATAGCAACCCGATTGAACAAAGTAGAATTAGGATTTCTCATACTATGAATCTAAACCTCATCTTTCTCCCGAGGAGTGGCTGGTGGGTTTGAATGACATGGCTCAATGCTTATAGCACCCTGTGCCTTCATTCATTTTCTTTTGTCTAAAACAGGGTTAAGAGTTTCTGAATAGAAGGCAAAATTTGGGGTTCAGGGTAGATTTAATTAGCCTTGACATTAACAATTAGGTAGTTGTTGGTGAAATAATGTAGGAAAACATAAGAAAATCTACTACTATTATAAAATTCAGGGGGAAAAAATCATCGTTCTTCATAGCCTGCTGTTGTGACTATCAAATCAGAAGTGAGGCCTTAACCGGGAAAGTTAGTAACAGGAACTAAAGGTCATCTAAAAATCTAAAGATTTTTTTAGCAAAATATGTAATTTTGTCAACTTGCAAAATTCATAAAAATCCAACAACATATATTATCCAAGAATAAAAATGATAAAAGTTAACTTTTTTTAAAAAAAGGTAAAGCATACCTTGGGATGGAATCCGTCTTGAAAGAAAAAGAAAAATATAGTTACATGAAGTTTTTATGCTTTCAATAAACTATTAACCTATTAACTGACAAAATAAGTTTAAAATTACAATGCTGTTAAAAAAAACCCCAACCTTATTCACTGGATAATGCTTAATGTGGTCGCTCTCAGGAAGAGATTCTAAAACCTTATTTTTTTTTAATATGCACAATAATATACAATTATAAATTCATTGAGTGTTTCAAGATAAAGAGTTAAAGAATACCCCCGCTCTCCCCAAAACACTAATTAGGCCACCAAAGGTACTGTTTTGCCCTATTCATCATATCATCACTTGGAGAAAAGGTAAAGAGGTATTGGAATGTCAGCATAGCATGCCCACTTGCTTGGGAAAATTTGTAATCATAATTTCTTAACTGTAAAGGAATGAATATTTGTGGATTACAAAAAATACATCTCAGACAAAACATGTATATGCTGTTATATATAAAATGCCTCTTAGGTATTTTATTGTTTGCCCCTCTTTTTTTGCCTCAAAAACAGAAACTTAGTTCCTATGAGACATCACATAATACACTAGACATTTCTTAATGTTAGCTATGTTGTTTTCTAATGCTAAGAAATGGATACTTTTTCTTAGTCTCACTTTTTTCCTTCTTTTAATTATAAAATATCATACACAGGTAAAATATCCGTAAATTGCCAAGTGCTAGTCAACTATTTTAAACTGAGCAAATGTGTGTAATGATTTATTAAGGGTACTTTCTACATATTCCAAGTTTACATTTTTATATAACCAAACCTGTTAATTTTTTCTTTGTGATCTTGTGACCTTGACATCACATTGATCTAAATTTTTGTTTTCTTAGTACTGCTTGTTGAATATTAAGTTTTATCATTCTGTACATTAATGAAAGCAAATCATAACCCCCCAAAGAACAGAAGTCTCATTTTTGTAAATAATATAAGAATTAAAATTATCTGTAAAATAATTTTATCTTAATAGTCTTTCGATTTATATTCTTAAAGCAGATAGCTTGAACTTTGCCCTAAGACTGAGGATTTTCAAAAACGTTTGGGCATCTTATAATACACTTTTCCTTTAATTGCAAAAGTACATGCCAGAAAACATTTTTAAATGATTAATTTGGATTCTATGAACTGTATGGAGATTTGTTACCCAGTATTTATAAGGCAATGATAAAAACATTTCAGAAAAAGTGCAAACCTTTGTATTTAAGAATGTTGCATTTAAATTTTAATTAAATTTAAGTGTTGCATAAAGTTTTGTTAAAAATAGATAATTGCTAACTAATTTTAAGTATTACATTATGTCTATGGAGAAAATATTCTTTTTGTAGAAGTCAGGGTTAACACTACTGGTTTCCAAAAAAGAGCAGTATCATTATTGAGCAGAAGCACTTTTTTGTCCTAGTGCAGGAGACATTGGGGACCTGGCTTCATACCCATTCTTCTCTTTCCTCACCATTAATAGTCTATAGAACTAGATGGGACAGTATGTGACTGCAATGTTTGTTTGGTGTACTCTTACATTGGTGGTAGGCCCTGACTGGCCTAAGCCAATTAACAGAACTTCACTCCCATAACGGAAAAGTTAGTCTGATGATTTAGCTGACAAAGGAGTCTGTATAATGTAACTGAAGAACAAAAAAATCTCATTATTTAATCCAGCTTGATTTTATGTTACTTGTAACTGAAAGAATGCTAGCATAAAGCAAGATATAAATAATATTCTGTTTAAAATAAGTAAAAATTAGTTAAGTTGCATGGAACTAAGAAAGAACACCTTTTTCCATAAAAATGTTCTACTTAACTATAATGTACCTGTGATACAGGCAATTAATATGGACTTTTTAACCATAATTCCTTATGTGATTTAGTATCATTGTGGACTCTATTCCTGTGTCCATAATTCCATTTTGGAGGGAGTACTCTGCACCTTTTGTATTCTTGGTGGTATGGTCTGTTGAAAGATAAAAAGCACACTTCCCCCAAAGACATACTTCTGTGCATAAGCCATCTCAGACAGAGAGAGAAATCCCAAGACCATCAGAAGAAGAGGGTGTTCGAGATCTTTGTCTAAGGTGGAGGAGGCTGAGACCAGTGGCACCAGAGACTGTGGTATGGAGACCATTGGAAAGAACAAAGGAGCCATTTGAGGCAAGAAAACCCTGAGGTTGCACAGAGGAGCACTACTGGCACTTGGGACCGTGAAGCAGAGCTGCGGGAGGGCTTCCTGGTTCACAGAGGCAGAGGCCAAGGGAACTCGTGGCTGAGAAACGGAGAACCAGAGAAAGACTTGGCAGCTAGCTGGGGAGAGGTGGTATTGTGGACCAATAATTGTATCCTTACTGTTTATTAATCCTTATTTGTGGTAACCTATTAACTCCCTCAAGAAATCCCTTTAATTATGAGTATTGTCCTGGAGTTCTCGGTGGCCACTGCAATGAATTATCAAATCTAGCACAGATGTAGCGTGGTGTGGGAAGAACAGTGTCAGAATAGGGGAAGAAGGATGGAGGCTGAAGGTATGTCTGACCTAAGTCTCAAGGAATAGGTAAGCCAGAGGAGTTCAGATATAGGTGGCCAGCTAAGCTGTTTTACACAGTAACACATTTTTTAGTTTAACAGCAAAATTTAAACACAATTATCAATATGTTTTAAGGAAAAAGTTATTTGAAGTTATAATTTTGGAAGCCAAAAAACATTTTCTCTCTTACCCTAATGTGGTGAGAGGTGTGTGTGTGTTGTGTGTGTGTGTGACAAAGAGGTGAGAAGTGTCACCTGAGGTTTACTAAGTTTCCACCCCACTCTACCTTTCCACTGGAAAAGGAAGAAGATAAACTTAAGTTTATAGAAAATAAGAAAATGAGAACAGAGAAAAATTGGAATGCTGGCAAATAATAGAGAAAGTGTTTAAAACCGACAAAGTTTTAACCTTATAAAAATTTACCCCAGCAACTAGAGATTTCAGACATTGTTGCTCAATCTCTAGCTAATTAAAGATAAAATATGAGGGGGTGCCCAAAAACACCAGATTTTTCCCCCCCAAAGCTTTGCATTAAAATTTTTTTTGTTGTTGTTTACAAAATAACCGTATCACCTTCAAAGTACTCGCCATTACACAATAAAATCTGCGATTCCATTCTTGGAAACATTTTTCAAACTCATCTGTTTGGATGGCTGACAGCACCTCTCTCGTTTTATTCTTAACCTCTTCTACATCGTCATCAAATTGCTGTCCTTTCATGTCCCTCTTCATTCACGGAAACAAAAAGAAGTCACATGGCCAGGTGAGTAAGGTGCAAGGGGCAAGATAGGCATGCTGCTCTTTGCCAAAACAGATGGCTGTGTGAGCAGGTGCATTGTCATGGTGGCAAAACCAGTCCCCGTCTGCCATAAATCAGGCCTTTTTTGGTTGCACGCTGTTCAGAGGTTCTTTTCAGACTCTCGAAATAGAAAGCATGATTAATAGTCTGACCTGGTGGAACAAACGCCAAATGCACTCCAAGTCGACATTTCCGTGCGTTCTGGAAGTTGATGGACATCCAGAACGAGGTTTGTCATCAATCAACATTTCACCTTTTGTGAAATGAGAAAATCACTCGTACACTTGAGTTTTTCCCGTAGCGCTGTTCTTGTAAGCCATGTTCAACATCACAAAATTTCTGCATCATTTTTCCCAAGCAGGAAACTGAATTTCACAACCACACGCTCTTCTTTTACATCAGCCATCATAAAAAACGAGGTCTGAGTGAAACTGCTTTCATGAAAACTTCATTGTGACCAGCGAGGACCTTTCATGGCAATGCCATTGGGAATAGTAAGCCATAGTGAGTTGCTCAAAGCTTGCCTACTGCAAAAAATACGTACTACGAGAACACCCAGTAGAGATTTTTCCAGTTTTATTTGGGTACCCCCTTGTATAAATACCTTTTGGGTAAAGACAGGCAAACTTGCCCCTTAAACTTAACCACCTGCAGTTACAAAGCACAGGTATTAATCCACATTTGGCCATTTCTTGACATTAATTTAGACCCCTCCTGATTAAAAAGAAATGTAACAGCTAAGGAATCCCAAATCAAAATGAAGAAGGTACCTTAACATGATTAAAATGCCATTTCAAGTTGGATAGTGCTGGGTGTACATGGCAGATTAGAACTAATTCACATTGTAAAGTCTATCCCCACACAGACGAAGTTTCTCAAGTATTTTAGCTTTCTGTGCAACGTCTGTGCAACGAAATAAAAACTGTTGCCACTTGCTGGCTATGCAAGCTAAATTCATTTAAACTTGCCTTAGCTCCTTCTTCAATAATGAAAAAAAAAAAAGTCTTATCAGGAGATTGTTGAAGATCAGCTGTGACAATGAACATAAAAACTCTTCGGAGACGCAAAATTTCTAAATAAATGTAGAGAGAGTTAAAGAGGTCTATCAGCTCTAGCAGTTTCACCAATTACAGAACTCAAAAGTTGATCTGAAAAGCTATCCTGCTTCTGAATATCCTGTAGATATTTTCCTTGACGAAATGTTTACCCTCCCCCCTTCAATTTCAATATTAATTTACATACCATAAATTAGATCCACTGAAAAGTGTACAATTTGATGGGTTTGACAATGTGTGTCCATGAAATCACAACTAAAATCAACATCCAAAACAAGCCCCATCATTTCTAAAATACAAGACTTCATGTCCTTAACAGTCTCTCTACCTCTGATCTCCAGGCAAACGGCTGATTGTATCCCCTGCAGATAGGTACACGTTTTAGAAATGAATAAGCATAAATGAATATAACTAAAAAGTAGTCCTAGACACTAGCGTGACTAGACCTCAGGTGGGGAAAGGAACAGAATTACCATGCTCACACGGAACCAGACCAAGGAGAAAGAGAAAGGGACAGTCGGCCTAGACTGCATATGGGCGCACCAAGCCCGGAGATGATGTCCCTGCACAGAGCTGCTAAGGCAGAGAGAGGACTGTGGGGCTGACAACAACTCAAGACATGTTGTCCCCTAACTGGAGCATATGGTGACCGAGGACAATAATGGGGACACACGGTGGGGAGAGTGTGGACTGAATCCCCCGCAGCGGGACAAATCAGGAATGGAACATACCAGATCAGCAATTAGGAGTAAAGCCGATCCACAGAAACCCTGAGGAGCCCCAAGAATGGACTTTGGGCTAGGAGGGGCAGCCTCCGGAACGCCCCAGGCCCAGGGGGTAGGGACTCATGGGGGCAGCGAACAGATCTGGATCTAAATAGGGTGGTTTTTTTTTTTCCTCTCCTTCTTTTTCCCCACCTTATGTTTTCTTATTGTTGGGACTAGGATATTGCTGGTTTGCCTACTTACATGGGACAGGCAAGGGAGGGAAGCTTGAGGAGAAAGCAATGGGGCCAATGGCCCCAGAGGGTCTAGGGGGAAGGAGGAGGCAAGGAGAAGGGTGTGGTGAGTGGATGGCACCATGGACAGGGGAACAACTAGGGAATCGAAACCAACATCTAGGAGGGTATAGAAATCCTGTGAGTATTAGAGCAACACCAATCTAGCTGAGAGGGAGCACTAAGAGGTGAAAGAAGGGGGAAAGTGATAGTGGGGCAGGAGAAGGCAAAAGGAAACAGAGGTAAGCTCTAGGAAGCAAAGGCATAAACAGAGGTGTATACTTATGTAAATACATTAATCCATAAAAATAGAGGTATTGGCCTATGCACATATATTTATAAGGCAATACCCTGAAGCAGATGGGCCTTGGGCCTTAGCTCATACCTTCCCTCAATACAAGAACACATTGTTCTAACAAATTGGCATTTGAAGACAAAATGGATGCACAAGCAGATATGGTGAAGATAGAGGATGGTGCCTGGCCATTAAAAGATATAGCATCTGGGGACTTAAAGGCTTGAAGTTAAACAAGCAGTCATCAAACAGTGAAGCAACAAGCCCACATGGAAGAACACCAGTCAGTGTACTCATGAAGTGTCATTGGGATCAAGCAACGGGCACCAGAAGATTCACAACAAACAAGCAAAAATGTATGGTGAGAATGAGGGGGGTTAGAGCAGAGACCAAGGCCCATCTGTGGACAATAGAAGGGTGGCAGGGAGGGGATGAGTTAATCAGGGTGCAGTAGAGCATTGATGGATCACGCAATATACCTCTGATCCCTTGAGGCCTCCTCACCCCGCACTATCATGACCCCCATATTGCTCCCCACTCTGGATTAGAGGGGAGCATGAACATAGGTATAGGCAAGGGATAAAACTCACAACACATGGACCCCAGGAACAGGAATGAGAATAGATGCCAAAGGGTAGGGGGAAGGAGGGGAAAGTTGGTGGGGAGGGAGGTGGGTACCGATCACAATGAATGGCACATAACCACACACCCCCATCCAGGGGGAAGAACAACAGAAACCAGAGGGGGAAGGGAGATAGTGGTCGGTGTGAGATATGAAAATAATAAGAATCTATAATCTAGCTAGGGACAATGAGGGTGGTGGTAGGGGAGGGAGGGAAAAAGAGCTGATGCCAAGGGCTCAATGGAAAGTAAATGTCTAGAAAAGAACGATAGCAAATATGTTGGATACAATTGATGTATGGATTGTAACAACAGTTGTAAGAGCCTCAATAAAATGATCTTAAAAAAAAAAAGTGGTCCTAGAATATGAACACTTCGAAATACAAAATGTAACACCATTTACCTGAGTTTCTCTCTTATTGGATCCCTCTTCTGCATCTGACTGTTGTTCTTGCTCATTTTCATCACTCTAAAAAGATGAATGTATTTTAGAAAATTAAACATAAAATCTCACACAGGAAATAATTAAAGAAATTTAGGGCTTTTCTGGCTAAAAATGTCTCTGGAAATATCTACCAAGCTATAGATCAAAAGAACATTTTAAGTAGGAGTTTTTTTCTATGTTAGGTAGTGGAAAGCCAATTTGTAAGCAGATGAGCATATGTGGTGAAGTAATAGTTCATATAAGTACCATTTAGCTGTTCAACTAATACTAAGGCAGCAAAAAGGCTTTGAAAGTCACTGTTTGGAATAGGAAAAGCTGGCTTCTGTAACATTTGCAAAATTTCCACAATAATCCTGCTATGTTTGAGTGACTCATCTATTTAGAAACTTCTGGGACGTTTGTGTGGTTAGGTGCCAGTGAGATGGTTCTGACTCACAGCAACCTTATGAACAACAGAATGGAACATTGCTTCGTCATGCACCATCCTCACAATTGTACCCAAGCTTGAGTTCATTGTTGAAGCTATGGTGTCAATCCATCTCTCGGAGGGTCTTCCTCCTTTCTGCTGTCCCTTTACATTCCAAACACAACATCTTTGGCCAGAGCCTGATCTTTCCTGACATGTCCAAAGGATGTAAGATGAAGTCCTGCCATCCTTGCTTTTAAGGAGCACCCTGGCCGTACTTCTTCCAAGACAGATAGATTTGTCCTCTCAGCAGTTCATGGCACTTTCAGTATTCTTCTCCATCGCCACAATTCAAATGCATCAATTCTTTTTTGGTCTTCTTTATTCAACGTCCAACTTCAACATGCATATGAGGCCATGGAAAATACACCATGACGTGGGTCCGGCACCCCTTAGTCCTCAAAGTAAAATTCTTGGTTCTTTAATACTTTTTTTTTTTATATTTTGTGCAGCAAATTTACCTAATATAATGCATCTTTTGATCTGCTGTGATCTCTTGCTACTTCCATGAGCACTGATCATGGATCCATGGAAGATGAAATCTTTGATAACTTCAACCTTTTCTCCATTTAGCATGCTGTGACTTATTGGTCCAGGTGGGAGTATTTTTTGGTCTTCTTTACATTGAGTTATAATCCATGCTGAAGGCTACAATCCTCGATCATCATCAGCAAGTAATTAAAGTCATCCTCACTTTCAGCAAGTGTGAGTTATCTGCATATCATTAGTTGTTAATAAGCCTTCCTCTAATCCTAATGGCACATTTTTTCTTCAGGTATTTTAGCTTCTCTGACGATTTGCTTAGCATAGAGATTGACTAAGTATGGTGAGAGGACACAACTTTAAGGTACATTTTTCCTGATTTTAGAACACACCAAAGAGGAAAAAAACCAAGGGCTCAGGCGGGTAAAGGACTAGAAGCTCAGACTAGTACTATTCTACTAGAAGGACTTGAAATATTCAACAAGCCTGAAAGAGTTAAAGGAAAAAGAAATGGACATGTGCATTCAAGTACATCAGGCTCAAGGTCACTATTAAAAATACCATGGGTTTTACACTAGATAAACCTAGTTTCAAATACTGGTAGCTATTTTTACTGTGTGGCTTACGGAGAACTATTTTTAAACCTTCTGAACCATAGTTTCCTCATCCATAATGCAGAGATAAAACTTTACCTTACTATTCCAGGTATCACCATTTTTTGTACCTAGTAAAATGGTGGTATGTGAAATTATTAAGTGGAAAAACTTCAAGAATAGTAAAAGTGAAAATAATATTAATTCCATTTTTGAACTGATTGTGCTTATGCATTGGAATTTCATGGGAAAACACACAAATATAGTAAGAAAATGTAAAAGTACAGTAAAGCAGGGAGGCTATCTACTCATACAGGACTCTTTTTGTATGCTGAGAGATATTGGACCAAATGTGTGGCTAGGAAAGGGAAATGAGAAGTGAACTTTGATAGATGACTAGCACTCAATCCAAAGCTGGCTTCGATGAAGAGGATGGGTACTGCCAACGTGGATCTCACAATGACCTTATAAAGTTGGGAAAGTGGATGACTTCAGACAGTGCAGTTTTGAAGGAAGAATGAATCTGAATAAAACTGGGGAGAAATACCAAACTATAAATACAGCTTTGATTATGAAATTGTTAACATTTATGGATCTTATGGAGATGAGATATTTTGAATAAGAGCTGGGGTGCTAAGAGCTTTGTTGAAATGTTACTGGGCAATAAAATAAAATCAATCAGACATTACATACTTCCTTGGTGGAAAAATAAAATAATTTGAGTTATGGTCAATTAATATGGCCCTTTTAGCCATGGTTCCTTATAGGATGTATTATGGTCTTGGACTTTATATGCCTGGTCCCCATTGAGCGCGTTCTCTACTATTCTGCAGGACTGGAATAGGGGGAGACTGAGATCTGACCTTGGTGGAGGGTGTGGGCTGAGTCATATATGTCCTTTGTTTCCTTGAGGGCACCTTTAATACCCTACTAGAGTACTGGGCATGAACCAGGCAACACTCTTTGTCTCCTTGATGACATCATTGTGAATCAAGCTACACCCTTTGTTTTCCATGGACATAAAATGATGCCACTATACAGTTCCAACACACATCCTCTCTCCTGGAAAGTCAGACCTCTATTTTCTTGATTAAACATTGGTACAAGAAAGATGATGTGCTGTTAGCATTTGGTCATTTTTGGCTTCTGGTTCCAGCATTTGGCTTGCCTCAGATTTGAGACAGACCAGTACCCACTACCACGTGAAACATTTCCACAAAGTTTCATGAGTCTCTTTGTGATACTTAGTGAATCACAGAACCCATGGACACGAGAGAATATAGTCAAGGGAGGAATGAGATAAATATAGTAAAGGGAGGAATGGGATAAAATGGAGCAGAATCGCATCCTAGAAGAGTTGGACATTTGGGACATCTTTAATTTCCAACTCTTTGGAATTAACTGGTACTAGTTCTTAGAAAATAATTACTACACTCTAGATCAAACTACCAAATTACATTAAAAAGAAACAATAACAATCCAAACACATTGCCGTTCGAATCACTTCTAACTCATAACAATTCTATACAGCCAAAACTCTTCATTGGAGCAGAAAGCCTCCTCTTTCTCCCAAGGAGTGGCTAGTGGTTTTGAACTGTTGACCTTGTAGTTAGCAACCCAATGCATAATCTACTAAGCTACCAGGGCTCCTTATCAATTTATAGAACACAAACAACAAAACAGCAAGGTGTCAAACCAAATTGTAAGAATGTAATAATCCACTTACTAAAAAAATAATTACAGGGAAAATAAAATGATATGGAGAGAGAAACACTGATGAAAGGAGGCTCTAATGAAACAATCAAGCATAGCAAAGACTATCACCGAGAAGACTATGGAAGTTTTATTTTGTAAAATAGGGGTCACCATGAATTGGAACTAATTGGACAGCAATGGGTTTGGTTTTTTAGTTATTTGGATCTCGATCAAAACAAAAACCACCACCACAAAGCTGGTAATGGCATCAATGAGCCATTTGGAAATGAAACTGACTGCATATTTGGTATTAAGAATTTACTCTAAATAAATAATTTTCAAAAAGTCGTCAGAAACTTTTAAAAATAAATACTAAAATGATATACCTAGAATTTCCTCCAAAATAGGCACTATACATTACTATTGTATCAAGTCTGAGCATTTTTATATTAAAAATTAAAAGAGAAATAATGGAAAAATATTAAGAGGCTATGGAATAACACTGTGCTTGCCCTTTCATACATGGTTGAGCGCTACACTGAAACCGTGTATATTTCTTATCAACAGTGCTACTCCATCTCTCTTTTCTCTAATAGTAAAATCATGGATCAGGAAAAATAAAATTTAATAAGATTAGCTACTGTAATTTGTAAGTAAAGTACTGCTTCTATTCAGCCTCCCTTGAAATCACAATAATTCTTTTATGAAGATCTAATAGCAGTATTTGTGAAACTAGGAGTGAATATGTGGCAACTTTTGAGAATCTTTAAGATAAATATGCAATTTAGCCATATGAAATATTATTATATATGCTATGAGCTAGAGCTATTATTGCTTTTATTCCAAATTTGATCTTAACTCCTAATTTTAAGTAGTACCAAATACTTAGTTAATGATTCTTATAAAGTAAAATGTTTTTGATGTAACAATTTCACATAGAAAAAATGACAGCTTAAACCAAGTTCTTAAATTTATTTGGCCTACCACCTCATTTTCAGAAAAGAACTTATCCAGCATCCCTATGACAATTAATAACTTTTGTACTATAGCCCACAAACCAGGATATCTGCTTTTGCAGGTGCCTCCCCAACTCCTGCCCTTCGGCTACTGTGGGGGTGTGGTATACTCCACCTTGGGCAACACTGTTTAAAGATGCTGTGGCATAGTTTTTAGTACCTACTTCTAGAAACATTAAGTATATTATCAAGTAGTAATATTTTAATAGGTCCTCACATCTTGTGTCCAAAAGGAAACTCCAGTAGATCTTCTCTTCTCTCTTGGTCGTCGTCGTTCTCTGATTGACTTAGGTTTATCTTCGCCTTCTTTTTCCTCTTCTCTTTTTTCTCCTTCTGTTAAGGATTGCAATTAGCCACATAGTAGCATTGTATCATGAAAGAATTTTGCAGGGTGAATGTAAACACAATTTTAAGCCAACCTCCTTTGAGAAGTCTACTCAAAAAAAAGATCAATGTCAATTTGTCTCAGTACTCCTTCCTATACACTTGATTTAGTAAATGTTCTTTTTCGCTCATACCAAAACTTCACATACCTTCTATTAGAATAGTCTTGAGTATCAAGACAAGTAATTATCTTCACTTTCCTAGTGTCTAACACAAAAATTTTACATAACACAGTAATAATATTTGTTGAATTGAACAACCAAAAAACTGAATTTTGTGAAGATGGGGCTTCAGTTACAAATGTTTGATAATGAGAAAGTTACTATACCCCATACTAACAGTTTAAAAATGAAACAAAACGGTTAATGACAGCAGCTAAAAGGCAAAAGCTTATACCACTACTATTGGCAGTTCTGGAATAAGTGCAGTATTGATTTAATTTCTCTTAGTATCAAAGTTCAAACTCGTTTCTTCTAGAAAACTATTTCTTATATCTCATATTTAAAACAAATCTGCCTAAAAATTTTAGATTTAAGGTTTCCTTCCTGAAACAATTAAAGTTGTTAGGGTTAATATTAGATGAATATTAAGTGAGTATACTTTATTTTAAATGACTTTTAGAAAGCTACTGAATTATTAGTAAAGACACTGAGCCAAAGAAAACCCAAACTTATAGATGAGAGGGGATTATTGATTATAGAATCACTTTAGAATAGATATATAAACCTCAAATGCTTCTAGTGGCCACGCTGGTTATATAAGTAGTAATACAAGGTTGTGAAGGTACTATACCAAAGCTTGAAGAACTGCTACAAGTTGGTTCAAGCCAATTGCTGACATCATGCAATTTCAATACAGTGCTCCCAATCTTCCAACCATTCAAAAGAACCCAAGCCATTAGTCTCAACTTTTATGTGAATACCTCCGATTTTAATTAATTTTTAAAAATATCATGCATGCTTCATACAGTGGGTTAAAAAAAAATCTCAATGACAGCAAAAGAAAAGCAAGTTGGAAATTAGGAAAATCTTATTTTGAAATATTTATTCTTCATAATTATTAATAATGATGTAAGACAATAGAATAATCTTATTTAGTACACATCTCTAGTTTAAAGAACTAATTCTAATTTAACAGTGAAAACCAAAACTAAACCTACTGCTGTCAAGGTGAGATCCTACATGACAAAGCAGGACTTCTCATAGGATTGGAGATACTACATACGTTTATGGGGGCAGACAACCTTATCGTTCTCCTTAGGAGCAGCTGGTGATTTTGAACTGCTGACCTTGTGGTGAGCAGCTTAGTGCATAATTCATTACTCCATGAAGACTCCTATGATTTACACAGTAGGCAGAAACAGCTTAAAGCACTCAAAAAGTACTACACTAATAAACCTCTACTCAAAATACCAAACTACCAGTTCTTCCATATTGACTTTTTTGGAAGGTAGATGTGACTATTTTTGTGAAATCTTGTTATAATAATATATGTATCAAATCAGGGTCATATAATTTTCTATCTTTGTTTTATAATTTTTTTCATTATCAACCATCTTATTTTTCTATTTAAGTAGAGTGAGTCACAGTTCAGGTTTTCACAGTTTCTGTTGAACTATTAACTCAACTAGGCAGCACCAATTTACTAAATTATTTAACAATAATAAAGCATTTTCAATAGTTAGTTTCTTACCTCTTTCATTCTCTTTTGTTAACCCTCTGGAATAAGCTGATGTTATACCTACAAGACTATTTGGCCTGTTTATTTGACTTGAAGCATACAGTGAACTGCTCATCGTAGAAAGTGATGAAGATGGAGTAGTTGAACTTGACGTTGATAGTGGTCTGTAACGCTGACAAGTCTGTGAAATAGCAAAATGAAAACTCAGTTGAAAAACTAAAAATGGAAAACTTAAGAATCCACAAGGAAAAAGTATTTAGTATTCAAATGATGCCAAAATAATTCAGATTTCCAGTTAGAATATTTTGTAAAACATTGTCATCTTGTTGGTATATTATTACCTCATCATATGTTCTGGAGTATTTTTGTTTATATTCATCTTCCCTAGATGTTTCTGACTCTTTCTTTTCTTCTTGCTTCTCTTTATCCTGTTTTTCTTTTTCCTCTTTCTCTTTTTCTTCATTTTCTTGTTCTCTGGTTCGGGTTGAACGGCTTCTTCCTATTGTTTTTTCAGCCTCTTGAAGATCGGTCAATGTCACACCCTACGAACAAAAAGACATGTTTAATTATGAAATCCATTATAGCTTGTTTCCAAGGCATATTTTAGAAGCAGATGCATTAAAGGCCAAGTACTGACTTGCACAGTGAGAAATTTTCTACACAGCAAGTCACATTCTTTCCATGAGGTATAACATGAGCAACCACAATGATAGGTACTGCTGGGAAAGATACAAACATATAGTAAATTGTATTTGCAGTCCTAAAATGAATGATATGAGAGATGACAGAAGTATCAGATGAGTATATAAGGGAACATATACATTTTATGTATACACAAAATAATCGTTTAGGCTTACAGAAATTTCCTTAAAGAAGTAATTCTTGAGGGTTATGCCTTGAAGAAAGGAGCCCCAGTGGCACAGTGGTTAAGCACTTGCAAACCTGTTTATGTAAAGATTTATAGCCTCAAAAACTCTATGCAGTGTTCTACTTTTTCTTACAGGGCTGCTATGAGTCAGAATCGATGGCTGTAGGTTTTGTCGACTTTGAAGAACATGTTAGATTTCAAGAAATAAAGGGTACAAAGATTAAACAAAAGTACTATAGACCCTAGTAAATAGTTCACCTTTAAAGTTAAGTAATCATATCACACAGTTGAAGCTGGACTGCAGAAATTCTCAACTCTAGAAAGGAGAAGGCAGATCTGTCAGAACTCAGTCTTGGGCAGGGGAGGGCGCAAAGGAGGAGGGAAATTGGGGAGCCATCAGTAGATGCGGGAGGGATCATTAGAGCTAATTGTAACGATGTATCTACAACTCTGAACCAGTTTAACTATGTAAGTGTTTGATATGTGACTATTATATCAAGAAAACTACTACGAAAAAGGAACCCAAACTTGACATATGGTTGCCATGGGTACAGGAGGAAGAGTTGTTGCTTAGGGGGCACTGAGCTCATTTTAATGGCGGTGGAACAATTTGGAGAGGGATAACAATAATGGCTGTACAACACGAAGAGTATAATCAATGGCACTGAATTATAAATGTAGAAGTTGTTGAATTGGTCAAATGTTTTGCTGTGTATATTTTTGAAAATTGAAAAATTTCAAAATTGAAAAACAAAATTCCTGAATAACAGTGAGTACTGAGAAAAGAAAATGTGCAAATATCGATTGTGTTCAAGATAGTAAAACTCTTCTTGATATTGTTGAACTATTGAATTATATGATATGTGGATGAAATGCCAATAAAACTGTTAAAAAAAGAACTTGGTCTGAGTCACATTTTTCTCATATGTGTACATTAGATGTTGGACACAACTAGTTTTAAGAGACTTCTCTCAATTTCATGTCCACCTCCAAATATTTTCATGTTTGATATATCACCAAACATTTATGATTATGTCATTTTATTTATTTATTTATTTTTTTAAAGGATCGCCCTTGTTTTTTTAAATTTTTAAACATTTTATTAGGGGCTCATACAACTGTTATCCCAATCCATACACACATCAATTGTGTAAAGCACATTTGTACATCGTTTCTCAAAACATTTTCTCTCCACTTAAACCCCCGACAAGTACGTCATTTTAACAATAATAAATACTCTGCTATGCACTATGTTAAGAAATGGGGATATGAAAGTAAATAGCCAAAGAAACAGCTTTAATGACTTAAAGCTAATGATATGAAGAATAATAACAGTACAAGCATATTGTTATATACAACAGGTAATGAAAAAATTTCTAAAGCAAGTTTTATATTTTACTTACACTATTATAATGCTATCAATATTTTGATATGAAAAACAAAAAGGAAGGTAACTTATTTTTTAAACTTTATGTATTGTAAATATTAAATATACCTGGGTCGATCTTCTGGACTGTCTTGCTTGTCTAGATCTTGCTTTTCTTTGGGATTCAGATTCCTCATCCCTAACAGGAGTGAGGTATGACCTATAGCAATAAATAAAAACCTGTGAATGTAATGATATATGAATACGTGTGAATAAAATACACAGCATAGCACTTTTAATGGATTTTAAGAATAGGTATCTTATGAGTTAATTGTACTACTCTGAAATACAACAGTAAACGATTATAATAAAATTTAATGAGAATTATCTTAATATATATTTTTCAAGGTCTTCCTACTTTAAAAAATAATGTAATGTAATTTTAATAAGAATATACTTCAAAGGAGGAATCTACTAAAAAAAATTGAGGGATAAAGATCTTAGTTCCACTGAAATGATTTTTCAATTAGCAAAAATCATAACTTCCTAAAGTTAATGGGGATTATTTTAAATTCAGTATAATGAAAATGTTCATATATAACTTAAAACAGGAAAAAACATGCAAACTTGGTCTGTCACTTTTCTGTTATACTGTCATGGCAGATAGCAATAATTGCACCACTGCCCTCTCCCTTATGATTCCAGTTGCAATCAATTAATACATCAATTTATCACACCAGCCTAAACATGTGAAGTTACGGAAATAAAAAATTACCAGTTGAAAGGCTTTCAAAATTCATTCATTTAAATATTCCATACATCTGCACAAATTATCCTAAATAATCTAGTATATCCATTTGATATTCAGTTCCTTTTTCTTCTCCTGGTGTCCTTATCTTGAGCAGACCTCTAAGATTAATTCCCCAATATCCAGCACACTGTAACTCATACAAACCTAGAGGATCACATAAGAGAACTGCGCTGTATTTTTTCCAAGGCCACATTTTTGCCCAGAGAAGGTCTGGTGGGTTCCCACCACTGACATTTTGGTTAGACTTTAACCACTGTGCCACAGGGCTCCTAAGAATGAACACAAAACTCAAACTCGCTGCCATCGAGTCAATTCCAACTCATAGCAAGCTGGTAGGGCAGGGTAGATGTGCCCCTTTGAGTTTCCAAGGTTGTACCTCTTCTGTGGAAGTAGAAAGCATCATATTTCTAAGAAGAGGATATATAAAAACCAAAAAGCCAATCTCCCTATCACCAAGTCGATGCAGTGTCACAGCAACCCGAAAGGACAGAGTAGGATTGGTCCTGTGGGATTCCAACCCTTTCCGGAAGCAGAAACTCCTGTGGAGGAGCTGGTGGTTTTGAAATGCTGACCTTGAGGTCAGCAGCCCAATGAGTAACCACTACGCCACAAGGATTCCCTAAGAATAGCATATAGTAAAGAAAAATACATATTTTATGCTTTTTTAAATTACAAAGAATGGATTATAAAAAAGACGGCAGAATATACCAGTTAGTCCTTGTCAAACTGGATCTCTTTCTCATAACTATCCAGGGAATGTCATTTTACTCTTACTAGTTCTAAACTGTTCACTATATTCTGAACAACCAGGTATTCTTTTTATAATTAAGGTGATATTTCAATATATGCAATTATTCTAGTTTATTTCACTGAGGTGCCCTGGTAGCACTGTCAGGTAAGTGTGTGACTACTAACTGCAAGGTTGATGTTTCAAACCCATCCAATCTGCTCCAGGGGAGAAAGATGAGGCTGTCTGCTCTGGTAAAGATTTAAAAAGCTCAGAAACCCTGCATAAGGTTGCTAGAAGTCAAAATCAACTTGATGGCGGTGGGTTGTTTTTTTTCCCTCTGACATTTATTCATTGAAATGTTGACATCTAAATAAAATATTTACATTTTGGTTAATCTACAAAATTAAATCTTAAAAACTGAATAGCTACCCATTTCTCACTTATCAATTTTCCTTTCAGAGCAAAGAAAAAGAAACAAATGGGAACTGGCTGAGCCAAGGAGTGATTACACTAAATCAACAGTTCTGGGTGAATTCCTTCTACATGTAAGAAATTACTCGGAAGGTAACTGCTTTGCAGTATGAAAAGACTATGGTGAAATAAAGAATACCAAATGGCAAAAAAACTATGTTCCATAAATTTCAAGGAAACATTCTCCTTACTACCAATCAAAAATTAAAATGATTGAAAACCAGAGAAAAGCTTGTTCTTGAAAATAACAGATCAGGATCCTCTGATTATTTAAAACAGGAAAATTTGAGAATACTGTACTGTGGAATTTAATGATGTATACACAATTTTACATAATACTCGCTGGTACATATGTAAGGGGTATGTGTTAAAGTAAAAGGTATAATGTAAGGGGTACATGGTGGTGTAAATATATGGGCTAAGTTTTAGCCAAAACAAATATATTTTAGGGAAAATTATAGTCATATATTTTACAACCATTAATGAAATTTAATTAAAATTTAATTAACAGACGAACAGAAGAGGCCAACAATGTACTAAAAATCGCAAACAATTATTTCACATGGCACAAAACACAAACATTAATATCACTGCAAACATCACTGGAACAAAGAAGCAACGTCTCTCTACTAGGGACCAGAAAACCTACTGGCAGACACATTACGGTTCTCATGCTGTTGAACGTGTTCTATTCTAACAATTATCTCCAAATGTGAAGCAATTCTCAATCTTTAATATTTTTATGCCAATTTTAAAAAGTGGGTTCAACTCTCTCCAACAGGAAAAAAATAAGAAAACTGAAGGTAAGTACTATAATTAATTTGTTCTGTAACAATGGTTGATTTCAGGGTGACATTAGTTAAGAATAAATTGTCACTGAAGAATTTTTTTAAAGAAATGCTAACAGAATTTCAGAAATTAAAAATTTTATTACTAAAGAGGAAATTTTTACCTAGAGAAGATTCTGACCTTTGGAGTAAGGCAGAACATAGAATTAAAACACCAAGGGCTCCTAACCCTTCGTTATTGTAAGCAGTTCCAACCAATACCTGTACTTTCAAATCACAAAGTTCACATTATTAATTTTGAGTCTCTAATTTGCACTGGCGTTATAGAAATACCACTGCCTGTTACCATAAAAACAGAGATGAAATATAAATATGCTGATAGAAGCTAAAGATGAAGCAACAGGAAAAAAATACTTAAAATAGTAGTTTTAAGTCTCAACAAAATCAGCAGTGAAGATTTTAAGCAGTGTAACAGTAACTTGCTACTTTTCATGTCCTCTGACAAATATTTACAATAAGGCTGCTACTATTACAGGCCAGACATTTTACTAGGCACCAGTGACAAAAGATGAACAAAACTTCGTATACCAAATATATGTGGCAGAAATAAAGTTAATCTGGTTGGTAATTTACTACGTAAACCATGTATGTAGCTAATTAGAATAAGATACAAATAGCATTTGCTGAAGATTTCATCTTTTCTCAAGAGGAAAAATTAAGACTAAAACTAGGAATTATGCATAATCTCTGGTGGCTCTATGGGCTAGGGATTGGTCTGCTAACCTACCAGTTACTCTGTGGAAGAAAAATGAGGCTGATTGCTCCCCCAAATATTTGCAGTCTTTGCAGCTACACAGGGACTCCATTGCAATGGGTTTTGGTTCTATGTTTAAAGTGGCAGGAAGAAGACTGAACTGACTTTCTTGCAATCTTGAGTCTACCTTAGTTCACACATGAAGTTAACTATATTTACTATCTCTGGATCTCAATTTCCTTATCTGTAAAGCAAGGATATAATAAAAGATAATAGGTAATTTTCTTACCATGTCTAAAATTCCATACTAATAGGTAGCAGCAGGAAGACGTGAGCAATGCTCTTAGTGCATTTAAGGGCACAAAATGAACTCAAATTGTCTTTTTTTCCCCCTCAATTCAAATAATGAATACCTACAGTGTAGCAGAATTGAAACTAACTGACTGCATTCAACAAACATAAAATGAATTGCTTACATACATGCAGAGAGCTTTTCCTTAATAAAATCTTAAAAGGAAATTCTTAAAAAACACATCAACCAAAATAGTTTAATATTCATTATGTTTCTTAAAAATGGAAGTCCAAATGAGATGACGGATACAATACTTTTGATACAAACATCTAGTTTTCTGTGTTTGCCTATGTATCTTCATTACACAAAACCGTTCTGGATTAAAACCACTATCGAAAAAACTAAGTGACTAAGTATGACGACAACTATCTGGCTTACTGCCTCTAAACAAAAACACCATTCTACGAGTGGGAGGTGGTGGCAGTTAATAGATGCCTTCGAATCAACTCCAGCTTACAGTGGTCTCATGTACAGAATAGAACGGTTCTAAGGGTCTGAAGGCTGTGACCGTTCAGAAGGTGACGGCCAGCCTGGCCATCTGAGGTATCACTGGATGCGTTCAAACTGGCAACTTCTTGGTTAGTAGTTGAGTGTTCACTTGTTTGAGCCACCAGGGACTCCTCAGAGGTGGGATACGAAGTCTAAATGATGATAATCCCTGTTTACATAGCACTAAGGTGGCATAGATTATTTACTAGGTCACTAGAGAGATGGTCACCAACATTAAAGACGGGGAAAAAACAAAAAAACAACAAAAACAAAAAACCCTTTCATCACTGGGCAAGATATAGCAGCAGTACTATCAGGACCTTTACACACCTGCGTCTCTCCCTGACCTCTGATGTAGAGGAGACAGTGCCAGCAGTAGTTGTAGTCAGGGTTGTGGTAGAAGCTGCAGCATGTACAACAGTTGGAGCAACAGGAATGGTCACTGTAGTAGGAACACTGTCCTTTTCTTTTTCAGTACTATCCTCAGCCCACAAACGATTTGAGGTACTAGAGCATCATAAGCAGCAACACAAAAAAGAGAAAAAGGAAAACAGCTAAACAATGAAAGCACTTCCTAGCGGCTGAAAACATATGACTCAAGGGATGGATTTTTTTTTTTAAACAGATGGCTAGACATCTTTCAACTATGAAATAAAAAGCTCAACTAGAGCTTTCAAATGAAATTTACATGTTGAGCTTTTGCAACTGAAGTTCTTAATTCAGGAACTTAATCCCCACCCCCAGGCATGCAAAATTATCTTTTTGGTATCAAATTTTGTGACTAATTCTAACAAGGTAAATGAAAAAATCCAGAGCCCCACAATCTGAACAAAAATGCATGCACAAACATAAGCACACAGACCTGAACACAAAATGTTATCTGTGACTTACCTGCTTTGTGGGCCTGCTATGGAAGAACCTGTTGTAATCTTTGCAGTAGTGCTGTTGCTTGAAAGCAGGCTTTTTGGGAGCCCAGTTGCAGAGGTAACTGTTGGTGTTGATGTGCTGCTAGGAACGCTAGAACTAATCAAATCATCTTGTCTTCTACCAAAGGAGCAACTAAAGGAAAAAGTCATATCTATAGAGGATGTCTGTATGTATAAGCTACAGTTAATGTCTATACATTATTCAGATTCACACGGCTATGAAAAATCTAAAAAAATTAAGCTTCTAAATGCATCACCAGTTCTAACACCAAGAGTTGCATATACAACTTACTGGATTATTTTACTGCCTCCCTCTCCCCCCACAAGCAAGACTAAGATCTGATATTTCATATTTCTTAAGCGATTCCAGACCCTATGTTTAGCTGAGCCTGAAAAAAAATACTTTCGTTTAGTTTCAACCAGGGAAAGTTAGGGCTGATATTTTTGAAGGAAATAGTTTAAGCAATGAGTCAGATCCTTAAAGAGTGGCCCAGGCCAATATTACACGTCTTCATATTTTACTCTTCCTACAGTGGCATTCGTAAGAGAAAGAATTTACAGCCCCCCCCTCCCCCCAGCTTCCCGTTCTAATATATCACCAACATTTCCATGTAAGGTATTTCCATTGCTCTAAGGCAGCGGTCCTCAACCTGTGGGTCATGACCCCTTTGGGGGTCGAATGACGCCTTCACAGGGGTTGTCCGATTCATAATAGTAGCAAAATTACAGTTATGAAGTAGCAATGAAAAATGATTTTAAGGTTGGGGAGCTACCACAACATGAGGAACTATATTAAAGGGTCATGGCATTAGGAAGGTTGGGAACCACTGCTCTAAGGTACGAAGAAGCTTTCTAGTTCACCAAGTGATGACCATTATTATGCCATTAATAAATCTCAACTGTTATTGTTATATTACATAAACATTTCCATTTTCGTATGCTAGAATCTAGAAGATACTTCATACAGACCAACTCAAATTTAGTATATACTAGAAAAATATATGGAAGAATAAATTTTCACTCTTATAAAGTACATAATCTGTGCCTTTCCTTTGGTATAAGCAACAAAATATATATAATAATCAACAAATGCATATATTTGCTTATGTGCCAATACATGCAGGGTTCCTACAAATTGCTTCATCTCCTTTATTTAAAAACTATTTAAAAATGACATATTACCTTCTATGATAAGTTGTTCCTTCATTAATTGAACTATTCTTTCTGAAGTCATCATCCCATTTTCTTCTTGTGTAAGAACTGCTTGTTCGCAAACTTGAAGAGTCTCTGTAAAAACAGTATCCTTCAGATTTTGGAAGATGATATAAAAACAGGGTTAAGTGTCCAGTTACGTTTTATTTTATGTTCCAGGATCCAGCTCAGGATCAATTTTGATGCACGATTGTACAGGAGGGCTGAAAACAGTGCCTGCTTCATTGTGACTATAGTACGTATCCTGCGGGAAATATGAAAACAGACTGGGAAAGTCTGATTCATCCTGTGTGTGTCCATACATTGATAATCAAGACCAATCTGATTTTACATTTGCTCTCCCTTTTGACCCATGTTAATGTAGTTTAAGTCTTTAAAAAAGTGGAGAGATATTCTGACCAGGAATGTGAATGGCCTTGCTCATGCAGAATTCATTAGAAAGTGGATTGTTGCAGATGCAGTTAGGTTAAAATATAGCACTTTATCTTTTGAGCCCCTTTATGACACATTTTGAATCTATTGCAGTTTTTAATATTCCTCTTCCACTCAGCTTTATCTTTTTAAATTTGTTATATTGTTTACCAATGATGTGTCATTGGTAAAAATTGTCTCCCAGTCTGTGGGCTCTCATTTCATTCTCCTGATAAAGTCTTGTGATGTGCATAAGTGATGTCATTTCCGCAAGTTCAAATCGTCTATCTTGTTTTTGCTGAACATGCCTCCTCCAGTAGTCTATGCATGCCTGCAATCAGGTTGTTCTGGGTGTATAATGTCACTATGGGCTGCACCCACCAAACAGTTCTATCTTGAAAGAAATACGACCAGATTTTGTTCCTTAGAGGGAAAGGTGGCAATGCTTGTCTTACATATTTTGGATATATTGTTATGTGCCATGAGAAATGAATAAACACTATGCCATTTCTTTCAAAAAAAAAAAAAACAGGGTTCAGAAAGTTGTATAGTGAAGATGAGAGGAAGCAAGGGAAAACAATAACTATTCTAAGGCCCTACCCTGAAAACAAAATCCTAATTAGAATTTTACCGATGTATTACTTGTGGTCAAAAAATAATAGATAATTTAAATGTCCACAGCAGGGAGAGGTTGTTACTTTAGCCTCAGCAGGCCTATTCTATGGAATACAGTGTATTTGAAAATAGGTATAAAAGAAATAGTACCTATTGAAAATATTTGCTAGCATTGGGCCCTTATGATAGTAAGAAAAAAAAGACACTACATTAGGTATTATCATATGATTACAATTATAATTAAAAATAGCTCATTATGTGCAGAAGAAATCAGAAAAACAAACAAACAAACAAAAACTAAAATGCTGACAGTGAGCAAGTGAGACCACGTAAGGATTTTCTTCTTTAGTCTCACCACTCAGTCATGGCCATAATGCATTCTTTGCTGTTCTACGAACATAGCAAGCTGGCTTCTAATTGGGACCATTCAATTGAAGCTGTCTGCTGGTGACAACATTTCTCGCTCTCTTCCTCCATTCCATATACCCCAATTAGAATATAAGTGTCATGGGAATAGAGTCTTTGAATTGTTCACAATGGTATCTATCTGCGCAGCTCCTATCAGTAAATGGTCAATAAGTACCTTTTTATGAATGAATGAAAACAAGTTTAAGAGGATGATGAAGACATTAAGCAGCAGCATTATTCACTGGAAGAAAACAAATTCATGCAATCCAGAGTGACGTGTGGAACTTTTCAATCAGTACTCATAAAAATTAATTACAGACACCAGTACAATTTTAGGACTTAAAGTTCATCCCTCTATTTTAGTACTTGTTATATTATTTTCGTATAGACCTCCAACATTAGATAGTGAACAGGATGAGGACACAGAGGGTGTTATTCACTCTTATTTCCTCAAGGTCTAGAAAACACTCAAGAGATTTATTTACAAGACCACCAAATCATTACTATGGATACTAGAAAGTACATCTATTGAAATGGTAGGCAAAGGAAATCTCTAGTTGGCAGAACACTAAATGACTGAGCTTTATCCAATTATAGATATATATAACACTACAAGTTTCTGCCAAAAAATAAAGCTCCTATATCTCACTTTCTTCATACATGTAATATGTATGTTGCATTTGTGAGTGATTCTAATTCTTCCAGGCATAAAGGCCATCTGAAGCACTTAAGAAATTAGATTCTTTAAATGAAAATGAACATAAAGGCATGAAATAAACATTTCCTTTATCAACAGTAGCTTTTCATTCTGAAATAATCAAAGGACTTAAGAACACAAAGGTACTTTGCTCATATATTCAAAAGTAAGCAACAAATTATTCATAGGTTACTGAATGAAATGCTTAATAAACTCTGAGGAAATTTATTTAGAACTCATTCTAGTTTTATGAAATCAGGCTAGAATTTGGAATAATTAAAACAATGGAACTGCACTCCGTTGGCACTTAGGTGAGCATTTATAGCCTGGCTTGCAAAATGACCAACTGATTATAAGCTTAAGAAGGGGAGTATTAAGGAGTTCAAGAGGGAAGAAAGTGGTTTGAAACTGATTGTAGTAGCAATTGTACAATACTGCTAGATGTGTTTGAACTATAGAGTGGTAAGCACCCAATAAAATGTTTTGGAAAAAAAGAAGTTTTCAAAGATAAAATACTTTTGAGTTGAAAAGAACCTTAGAGATATCTGCTCAGTGGTGTTATCTACTTTTCTGCCAGCTTCTTAAACTAAAATATGGTTTCATGTTTAATAGAGTTTTGGGTCCTTGATGGTGCTGTGGAATAAGAGTTGGGCTGCTAAGATTCACACCTACCAGCTGCTCCAGAGGAGAAACATAAGGCTGTGTGTTCCTGTAAAAATTTAGTCTTAAAATTCTGACATAAGATCCCTACTGATTCTGTAATCATAATTAGATGCCACTGGGTGTGGGGGATATAAGAAGCTATAAAAGTTGGTAGGGGAGATAATCAATGAAACTCTACATCCAGTTGTCTTAAATTAAGCCATGTATTTGAGTAAAACCCAATCCTAGGTTCAAAGCTCTCACATGCGGGCTAAACACAGGAGCTCATGCACATTATTCTGGCATTCTACAGTGAATGACAATGAAGCAATTCATCCAGTTTTCTGTTTTGGAAGTATGGATGCTAAATGTATATGGTAAGTGTGTTAACTCCAGTTTATGATGAACAGTATTGATCCATTGTTTGGTTCACAGTTTTATACATTTCCAGAGCTCTATACTCTGTCTATGGCAGATGTCCATTAACTTACTTAATGCATCAATGGTTTAGTAAGGTTTAGTGTTTCAAACAAACTGTGCTCTATATGCTATAAACAAACTTTTCCTCCATCTATGCTTTAAAAGTAAACAGACATTTCACTGCCTCCATCAAGTTTTCTGTGAACCAATATTCTCCTGGTTATTCTTCTAGATTCCAATTTACTGAGTGTCTATGATGGTCCAGGTACTGTACTAAGCTAGATCTACAGGTAAAACTGTCAGAAATCTGTAAAAATAAAAACACAATACAGATAATCATTAAATTTGAGGGTGAGCAAGTAGAGAATATCAGAAATACTTGAGCTCAAATCTTGGCTATTCTACTTTCAAGCACATTGTTGACCTTAGGAAAATGACTTAATCTGTCCTAATTTTCTCCTCTGTGAAATGATTTAATAGCAGTCCTAACAGGATTAAGGTGAAAATGAAATATTTTATTCTGTAAAAGCACTCATTAAAAAGTTTTGCACATGCGAAGAAAGCTGATGGTGCCCGGCTATCAAAAGATATAGCACCTGGGGTCTTAAAGGCTTGCAGGTAAACAAGCGGCCATCTAGCTCAGAAGGAACGAAGCTCACATGGAAGAAGCACACCAACCTGTGTGATCACGAGGGGTCAAAGGGATCAGGTATCATCAGAACAAAAAATCATTATCATCATGAATGAGGGTGGGAGTGCAGAGTGGAGACCCAAAGCCCATTTGTAGGCCACTGGAGATCCCCTTATGGAAGGGTCTCGGGGAGGAGACGAGCTAGTCAGGGTGTGATGTAGCAATGATGAAACATACAACTTTCCTCTGGTTCCTAAATGCTTCCTCCCTCCCCACTATCATGATCCGAATTCTACCTTGCAAGTCTGGCTAGACCAGATGATGTACACTGGTACAGATAGGAACTGGAAACACAGGGAATCCAGGGTGGATGATCCCTTCAGGACCAGTGGTGTGAGTGGTGATACTGGGAGGGTGGGTTGGAAAGGGGGAACCGATTACAAGAATCTGCATATAACCTCCTCCCTGGGGGACGGACAACAGAAAAGTGGGTGAAGGGAGACGTCGGACAGTGCAAGATATGACAAAATAATAATTTGTTAATTATCAAGGGTTCATGAGGGAGGGGGGAGCGGGGCAGGAGGGGAGGGGAAAAAATGAGGAGCTGATGCCAGGGGGTTGGGTGGAGAGCAAATATTTTGAGAATGATGAGGGCAATGAATGTACTTTACACAAATGTGCTTTACACAATTGATGTATGTATGGATTGTGTTAAGAGTTGTATGAGCCCCTAATAAAATGATTAAAAAAAACTCAAACAAACAAAAAGTTTTGCACATAATGCTACGCACATGTTTGCTATATCACTATGATAGTCTAAGTAACTGCTTTTTTCTATAGGGTGGCATTTCTGCTCTCTGTATCCAAGTGTTTCAACATATACAACAGGAAAACCTTTTAGAAGTTAAAGCTCTACCTTGAGTTTACAGATTGTAAATATAACTTGTAGATAGTAAGTCACTGTCTTTTTCATTTACTGAACAGGCTAAAGGGAGAGCCACTTGAAGTCACTCACCTGTTTTCTTTCTCTTCAATGTCAGATGTACTGGCTAGTCGTCTTGGTATTGTGGGTGCAACATATGCAAGCCTGGTTCCTTTATTGTCTTTCTCCTGAACAAAAGGGAAAAACAAAAAAAATGTGAAGCAAAGGCTATTCAGCAATATAGAACAGAGTCGTTAGTTGCCAGTGTTATTTCTAGAGTTACCAAACAATTGGACAATACATTTATGAAATTCAAAATATACTAAAATTATCTTAAAATATAAAAATATATCAAAATTATATTAAAAGCAAAATTATGAGAAATTATATCTGTAAATTTCTGCTATAGGGAAATAAAGGAAATAAAAGAAAAAATGGAAAAACCAAACAATGCAGTAGAAAAGAAATATTCCAAATATATAACTCTGATGAATTATCATACATATTATCATACATACAAATTATCATATATGTGATGTGATATTAACACTGCTTCTCAAAATATAGTTACTAAAATGACACATTAAGACAAAGTCACTTGCGGTGTGCGAGAGGAACCAAAAAATAAGCAGGTGAAGAAAATTTTCAGATACTGGATAAACGCAACCTGTAAGTATAAGGGGGATTCAAAAAGTGCCTGGAAAAATTTCATTTTCCCATTGACTTTTTGAACACTGCTTGTATAGTCACACGCTAGAACAACTGCATTCCTGAACTACTAAAAACTACTGAAGCACATTAAGCTTGCTCGTTAGTCCATTCTATTGTAACTTCTCAAGTAAGAGAAATTCCTTTAATTGATCAGATTTGCATAGTTTGTTTTGAGGGAATACATGAAATCTTCCCAGCACTTACAGTAGATATATTTGTATTATGTTGTAATTTATAAAATCAGGTTAGTGAAGTTTATATCTAGATCTAACGAGGCCTAGAAGAACACCTATACTCGATTTACAGTCCGAGAAAACAATTGTTTTAGAATTATGCCAGAGATTAGATTGTGAAATAGATGACCTTTTCTTTGTTATCCAAAGATGAGGAGAGTCTGGGGCTTGAAGCAGAGCGCATAACACCAGCAGTGTCTTTTTCTTTCTGAGCTTCTTTAGAGGCTGTGATTTCAGCAAGTGCACCATAGCTGCCAGTCTTTCTAAGTCCTGACCGCCAAGAGGCAGGAGACTCATCTTTCCTTTCTTCTTCTTTGGGAGAAACTTTAGCAGTCGAGGTTGGAAACTGTATTTTATATTTTGTAAAAAAAGATGAATCAGTCCTTAAGTTGGGAAATGAGACATTTACAGAAAATGTCTAAAATTGTAGTTAGTTATGTCCAAAGACTCTCACTAAGTAGGTTAATGTCTTAGTAAACACGTAAAGACCTAAAGCTGGAAAAGGAAGGCACTATCTTTCCAGAAGTTAGATTTAAGAGAACACACTCCACTCTTATCACAAAGAACACTCATGATGCAAATAAAGCAGAAATGCACACACCAATAGGACTTAAAACCATGCGTCTCTGGAACATTTATATTAAACTTGTTACATTAATAAAAATCCTTACACATAAAAATGCCTCACCATAGATTTTTCACCCTTATTGGGCACAAGAACAATGCCAGTTTTGCGCAAGCCCTGCCTCCATGATGCAGGATCTACTGATTCCACGACAGGCATGATAGGAGCAATGAAATCATACTAAAGCCAATTGAAATGAGACAGGTAAAGAGATAAAGATTGGAAGTATGAACATAGGAAAGTTAAGAAAGAAAATAATTGCGCTTTAAAACGAATTTTATAATAAATTGAATCCAAATAATTAATTGATCCAATCTTTAAAAGTCCTGGGAACAGGTTATGTTTAAACATGATAACCTGAAAGAATCTAATAAACTTCTGTTGTTAACGGCACTTAGAACAAAAGTATTACAGTGTGGGGGGAACAAACTAATGCACAGGAATTTTGTTTTTATATGTTAAATATACAACTTGGCTAAATATTCCAAAATAGAATAAAAACAAACATTTCTAATTACAGGAATTTAATGATATTATAGTCGAAGTTTATTCTTGGACTTTTCTAATAAACATAAGTTCAAGCATCTCTACTAAAAGCTATTTTTACATACAAGTATTTACTCTAAAAGCTTTCCAACAGTCCTAAAGTTTTCAGTTTAAATATTCAGAAGCAGTTAATTAGGGGGCTTCAAAAAATTTGTGGAAAATTTTATTATCTTTTAATTCCATTTTCTATGAATGTCTTAAAGTTCCTTCATATAGGTGGGTGATTAAAGCAATTAAGTAGCAGCTACAAGAATAAAGGTTTGATCCTTTAAAAATAAAAAAGTCTTCATATTTATTGTTCCAGGGTCCCCAAACCAAACCACAAGGTGCTGTGGGGTATTTTGGGAGAGGAGCACAGTGACATCTGTTGGGCATTGCATAAATTGCTATTAGTTGTCTGCCCGGATTGCAAAGTGGGTTAAGCGTTGGGCTGCTAACCACCTGGTCAGCAATTTGAAAGTACCAGCTGCTTCTTGGGAAAAAGGTGAGGTTTTCTACTCCTGTGTACTGTACAGTTACAGTCTCAAAAACAACCCGTCAGGGCAGTTCTACCCTGTCCTATATTGTTGCTATGAGCTAGCACCAACTAGATGGCAGTGAGTTTTTGGCTAACTGCAAGGCAGCTTTGAGAAGTTGTGGGATAATTCTATTAACTTTCAATTCGATTTCCCCCACTCAACTAAGCTGCAACAGCCCAAAAGCTGCCTTAGTTAACACATAAAAGAGTGAATGTGCCCGTGTTGCAATAAAATTTTTATTTAGGAACACTGGGATGGAGTTATGGCACAAAATAATCTTTTGAAATTTTCCCACTTGAAAAATTTAAAACCACTTGTAACTTGCAGGTTATAAAAAAAAAACCAAACAGGTAGCGAGCTGGGTTTAGCCCACAGCCCAAGTTTGCCAATTATTGCTCTAGAAAACTCAAATTTACCTTGTCCACCCCCCAAATCTTTTCCTTCATGATAAAATAGCCCAGATAGCAGGTAACACTTACCAAGTGTTATAAGAATTAACATTTAACATGTCAAGCATTAGATCAAGTCACACAGATGAACTCCTTTAATTCTTACAACTACACAAGAAATATTATTGTTATTTGAGATGTAATGTTGAGAAAAATGAAGCAAGGACATCACTTAGAAAGAGATAATTGTTACAGGTAATGGCTGATAACGTTGACTTTGCCATACATGTTATCTGGATTTAAGTAGTGTGTTTAAAAGCACCTTTCAATTTTCCTTGGTGTGAAAATGAACCTTACAAGAATAGTTAATTATACCTTCTGCCTGAAACTCTTTTCTCTTTTGGCTGTTACAAGAGGGTAATATCTTGGCTTTCCCACTCTTTGGATGATCCCTTCATGACCTCTTTTCTGCTGCCCAGAAGAATTCTTTACTCGGGGCTCCATACAATCTTCACCTTTCTTCTCTTGTGATGAGTCCAGTCTTCTCGCTACTCTCTCTGGCTAAATACTCTTTTCATTCAGCTTATTCTTAAATTTGTTATTCTCTGGCCCAGTCTGATTCCTAAATTCCTAGTCCAGAATTTTGGAACCTGTAATTCAACATGTATAAAATCAAGCATTTTCACTTCCAATTTCATCAATTTCCTATTTCTGTAAGTGGCACCAAGAGTTTCTCTAGTACTCTATGTCTGGAACATCACGTCCATGTTGACTTTTTGGGTTATCTTCTTATATCCATAAATTAGATGCCAAGTCCCTTAGCCATTTCCTTATCTTCATAACCCCACTACCACTTCCCTAGTTTACACTACCATAACCCATGTTTGGGGCAACTTCAATGGTTTTCTAATAAACCTTCACTCAATCAGCCACTCACGTCGAACACACATGTACATTATTGCTATAAAATAATTAAAGAATAATTCTCTCATGGCCTAGTTAAAATAACTTCTATGAGAAAGCTGATGGTGCCCAGCTATCAAAAGGAATAATATCTGAGGTCTTAAAGGCTTAAAGATAAACAAGCGGCCATCTAGCTCAGAAACAACAAAGCCCACATGGAAGAAGCACACCAGTCTGTGTGATCACGAGGTATC